CCTTCATCGCATTTCACACGACGGCTGCGACACTGCGAAGGGTCAGTAGGGAATGATCGACTGAGTGATTGAACATACGGTAACGCATCCTCCAAACGAACGAGTCCTCCGCCCTGGGACCCGCTTAGCCTTTGCTGTGGACTTCCCTAAGAGAGGAGGCATATTGAAGAGAAGCTATCTCCTCGACGAGACCTTCTTCTCAGCCGGGAATGCCCACTTGTAAAGGGTCCTGAGATGCAGGCATCGGCACTCCCGCCGTGGTGGAGAAGTGAGATAAGGCCAATCGCTTCCCCGCCTTTCGGTTATCGGTACCAATCCCTCTCCTGGAGAAACTTTCCTATCCCAACCAAGCGATGAACAATCAGCAGAGATCGAAACCCTCCAGTTCGTATCGGTAGTTGACTCCTGCAGGGCGCACTTTGATCTCGCGTCCTTGGGATCATCACGTTGATAAGGTTCTCCCCGCACTTTGCAACGGCTCGCCACCTGATCCAAACTTGTGATTGGGCGGGAATGTTCCACTATCGAAGCCACCATCGTAAAAGGAAAGTTATATCTGGTGGCAAGACATGTCGCTTTTCACTGTGTGATAGCATGATAGGAAAGTCGAGCAGACTATCCTGTTCAGGTCATTGGCTGAGCAGAAAATGTGAAGGCAGCTCCGACATGACACGATTGAATCATTTATCTCGAGATATATAGATACAGTTCTGACGTTGGCACTTTGCACCAAGTTGAAGCAACAAGACAATTTTATCCACCGTTGATCATCGCACTATTCACACTATCAGCAATGGGTTCTGTACCTCAGTCTACCAGCACTTTCGACGTTCTCATCCTGGGCGCAGGTCTCTCCGGCCTGTGCTCACTCTACCAACTCAAGAAACGCTTCCCAGAATGGCGTATCAGAGTTCTTGATGCCGCTCCCGATGTTGGAGGCACCTGGTACTGGAACTCTTACCCCGGATGTCGATTCGACTCTGAGTCGCTGTCTTACTGCTTCTCATTCGACAAGGAGCTTCTTGACGAGTGGCACTGGAAGGAAGCCTTTTCGCCTCAACCAGAGACTCACAAGTACATCACTTATTTTGCTGAGAAGCACAATCTGAAGAAAGATGTTCAGTTCAATACCACTGTTACGAAGGCTACATGGAGTGAAGGTGATCGCACATGGACCTTTGTCGATGAAGCTGGCAACGAATACGTCTCCACGTTCTTCATCAGCTGCATGGGCTTCCTCTCTGCGCCTACTCTGCCCGCAATCGAAGGCATTGAAGATTTCAGCGGCAAGCTCTTTCATACTTCTCGCTGGCCCAAGGACCTCGATATCAATCGTGACTTTGTAGGCAAGAGGATTGGAGTAATCGGAACAGGCGCGACAGGCATACAAATCACAACTGCCGTCTCCAAAGTAGATGGTGTCGAATCCCTCAGCGTCTTCCAACGGACGGCCAATTGGTCCGCTCCTCTTCGCAACTCCGAAATCACACTCGAGCAAATGGCCGAACACAAGAAGAACTATGACAATATCTTCAAGATTTGCGAAACAAGTTCATCGGGCTTCATGCATCACGGTGACCCTCGAAAGTCTCTTGAGGTCTCGGAAGAAGAGCGACTAGAGCTCTGGGAGAAGCTTTACAACACTCCTGGTTTTGGAAAGTGGCTGGGCGTATTCTCTGACACGTACACCGATCGATATGCTAACAGTCTGTATTCCAATTTTATGGCCGAGAAGATCAGACAACGGGTTGATGACCCTGCTATTGCGGAGAGCCTTATCCCCAAAGATCACGGCTTCGGTACGCGACGAGTCCCTATGGAGAGTGGATATTTTGAGGCCTTTAACAAGTCAAACGTTCACCTTGTTGATCTGAAAAAGACACCAATCGATCGCGTCACGCCATCAGGCATCCTAACCTCCGACGGCAAGGAACACAAGCTTGACATTCTGATCTGTGCTACTGGATTCAATGCGATCACTGGTGCCTTTAGTGCTATTGACTGGCATGGCAAGCAGAACAGGCCATTGATCGCGACGAGCGACAGCCCTAAGGGTGATCAAGCAGTTTGGGTTGACCACAGACCCCGAACGTTCCTTGGTATTACTGTACCCTCGATGCCAAACATGTTCATGGTCCTTGGTCCCCATCAGCCCTTTGGCAACGCTACACGCAACATTGAGCACGGTGTGCAAGCTATATCAGATATGCTGCAGCACTGCAAGGACAACGGCTACACTTCTGTTGAACCCACAGAGGACGCCGTTGAGCAATGGACTGAGCATGTGGTGAAGTGCAGTGAGAGCCAGGTTCTTATGAATGAGATTGATAGTTGGATGACAGGTGTGAACAAGAACGTCAAGGGCAAGAATGTTAGAAGTGTTGCACGATACAGTGGAAGCATTGGAGAGTATCGAAGGCGGTGCGCGGAGGTCAAGAAGTCGGGATACAAGGGTCTTATTTTCGCATAGATCGAGGTAATTAAAATTCCTTTCAGTTTATAAAGCATTTGCCCTTTTTTGTGCCGTAATATCTGAGGGAGACTTGTGCGCACCGACACTGCTTAGAGGGAAATATGTGCAATTGTGTTCGTGGGCCAAACAATTAACAACTGTGACTTAGCAAAACATATCATAACACTTGTAAGCTTATTTTCTAGCATATATGAAAATACGAATAATTATAGCAACAGTACCAGTTTATATTTGAAGAGCCGTCTCAAGCGCATTCTGCAACTCAGTACGTATTTGGATGCATCTAAGCTCAGTAACCTACAGGCTACAGTGCCAGTCATGGATGAAACAGTTCAACTTAGTCAGTAAACAAGTCACGCGGTGATAATCGATCACAAATTCCCGAGAAGTCTCCGTTCTTCAAGTCCAGCCTCTGTCGCGGAACTGCCTTCTCGTTATCATCTGCTCACCAGATTGAGGCCTTCCAGCGACTACGTTATCATGCATTCCCCGCATTTGAAACAGGAAAGTTATATCTGGGGGCTGATCATGGTGGGGCAAGCCCAAGATAGCGAGAACGCTCCATATCAAACCAGGAAAGCTTCTCCAACTTAGCTTCGGATATCGGTCGCCGAGTCACGGACCTATCAAACGTGGGACAATTGGGATGAAGTAGTTATAGGTGTATAAGAACAACTCCATATTGTGAAGATAGACATCAATATCAATCAGTTTTATCTAAAGAATTTGGCATATCATCAGTCTCTCATCCCCAATACCTTTATTCCAATGGATGTCCCAGGATACGCTCTGATCACAGGAGGTGCTTCAGGTATCGGCCGAGCATGCGCCAGGGCCTTTGCCCGCGATGGCAGTGCCGGTATTGCACTCATAGACCTCAACCTTGAATCTCTGCAGATCGTCAAGTCTGAGATTGAAAAAGAGCAATTGTCACCGAAGAAGGACTTTAAAATTGAGATATACTCTGCAGACGTCACAGATGAGAACCGCATCAACGAGATTGTCGCAGATGTTGCAAAAAAGTATGGCCGCATCGACTATGTTGTCAATGCAGCTGGTATCGCCATGAAGCATCAAGGCGGTGCAGCATTTGCCCATACAGCTGATTGGAACCGTGTTGTCAGCATCAACCTCACTGGAACATTCTTTGTCCTCAGAGCTACAGCACAAGTCATGTTGAAGCAAGACCCCATACGTTCATCTATCAACGGAAGAGAATTACAGCGAGGATCAATCGTCAACTTCTCTTCCATTCAGGGCGTTGTCGGTATCCCACTATCGACATCCTACACAGCTGCCAAGCATGCCATCATTGGTCTCACACGTTCAGCCTCAGAGGACTACGCAAAGGAGGGACTTCGCATCAACGCTATCTGCCCAGGATACACAGAGACACCAATGACAACAAAGAACCCCGAAGTGCTCAAGGCTATGCAAGAGCGAATCACGACAGCTGTTCCCATGCAGAGGATGGGTGCACCCGAGGAGATTGCTGATGGTGTTTTGTATCTTTCTGGAGGACGAAGTTCTTTTGTTACTGGGTCGGCCTTGGTTGTTGATGGTGGCTATACCCAAAGGTAATGACGAGCGGGAGGACGACTGGAGTTGGCACTAGAAGCTGGAACTTGGGTACCATAGAACAAGCAGTAGGCTGATCTGTCTTACGTCTTAGGTTAAGACGGTGCAGACATCTCAGATGATAATCGATTCTGAAACGTGTTTCTATACCCTCGCCTCTTTTCTTATGCCATAGTTAGTGAGTGTACTCTCGGTTGTTGAAGCTGAACTATGCTAAGTTCTCTAGGCCTCATTGCGTTAATCAGTTGACACTTCTTGTTTTGAGATAGCATTAGCCATACGATATCTTTGTTACTTTCTCAGAGAGCAATTGCCATGTCTCGTTCCAACACCAATGTTTTCCTCAGAAATGGAGAAGTGAAACCGGAGCAGTAACGTATTAGTCAGCGGGTTTAGCTCAGTTGGGAGAGCGTCAGACTGAAGTCAAACTTCAATCCTCACCAATAAAAGTGATATCTGAAGGTCGTGTGTTCGATCCACACAAACGGCACTCAATATCTTTTTGCACTTTCTCGCCGCAACCAGACACCGAATTTATACCAGCCCTGCCACTTGCATGCTAACAATGCTTAGCAGCACAGCCTCAAACCGCGACACTAGACCAGCATGCTGACATTTTGGTTCAAGGTCAGAAGTGATTAAGTGTCTAATTTCTAATTTTAGAGCCAACATCAGTCAGACCCCTGTTCCCTGTCCTGCGGAAGCAAAAAAGCTTAAGGTCTCTACTCTAAGTGACACAAATATTTAGGCAAGTTTAGTATAAATTTAGAAGATCCTTAGATTGGCTATTTCTGACACTTAGGGTCAAGGTCCTCTGTTGTCTTGCCTCCCCTTACCTGCTCAACACAGCCTCGACAACGTTTCAGCCCTAGGCAACATTTCTCACATACATCTTGCCCGTAAAAACGCATTATTTCTACATTGTTTATTCTCAAATATAAATCTCAAAATGACAGAGAAGCTGGACCACGGCCCCAAGGTCATGTCCCGTCAATGGCGGAGTATATGCAACGATCTACAAACCTCTTGACAATAGCCGGCACGAAATCCGACTTCTCACGCTTCTTCCACCTCGACACGGCGATGCAAATATACATTGCACCCTTTCACACGCCGTACTCAACACCTTATCAGAGAATCCCAAGTACGAGGCCCTATCGTATGTTTGGGGGGAGCCCGATTTCTCGGAGCCGATAATTCTCAATAATCACACTTTCTTCATCACACCAAGCCTGAGATACATTCTATCATGCCTGAGGCAAAGAGATGACCAGCCCCGAGTTATTTGGGTTGATGCGATTTGCATCAATCAGTCAGATGTCGAGGAGCGGGGTCATCAGGTCGCTCTCATGCGCGAAATCTACTCAAATTGCGAGCAAGATATCGCCTGGCTTGACCCGATGATCGGCAAAGATGTCAAGGCTCGTGAGCTTTACAGCCATCCCTATCTTGACGAAGAAGAAGAATGGGTGCAAAAGGGCATGGACTTGATGCGTGAAATAGCCGAGAAGAATCCACAGACTCTAAAAGAACTGCAAGATCGGGCCCGAGAAGGCTATCGTCTCCTCACGGACTCACAGCTCGTTCTCGGTGCCGTGTTCAGGCAGCCAACACTCTGGAGCCGGCTGTGGGTCATGCAGGAGCTCTCTCTGGCCCCGCGGTTGACGCTCATGTCTCGAAATGCTGAGCTAAACTGGGATGTCTTGAAAAGCCTCTTCAAAGACGAGCCATACTTTGACGCGTTCCACATGGGCCGCGAGAGTAGTCATTCTCTCTTATATTACAAGGACTTTAGTGAAGTGTTCGTCCCCATCAAACTGATCGAGGACCAACGCCGCCTCATGTCACAGGGCAAGGGGTCTAAGCTCATGGATGTGCTGGTGCGATTCCGCGAAATGGAGTCGACTAACCCTCTGGACAAGATATCCTGGCCACCAAAGGCACCATTCTTGGAACAGTCGCACCTGTTCTACAGGATGACAGACGCCTTGAAGCGTTCGATGTCATGAACCTTTACCTTGGCAAGGAAGCACTTGAGCAACCCCAAGAGCATCTCTATGCCCCAAAAGTCGGCGGTAAAGAGATATCAACAGGCGAGACTGCCATTCGTGCATTCTGGCGAACGATGGTAAAGGATTGCACGCTCCCCCCAAGAATGCGTCGGTTGAGACAAACCGAGATTGAGAGGTTGGACGTCGAAAACCAAGAGCAGTTGAAAACTGAATGGAGCCCCCTACAGACATATCGTTTACACTTTGGCAATAAATACTCAAGATCTGCATTCAGTTATCAGCCCGCCGACGACGAGGATCTCACTAAGCTTGACATCGAGGGCCAAATCTCACATCATTACAGCCCTGGTAGCTTCATGTTCGCGGTCACGGATAATGGACTCTTTCTAGCAACGCGCTTTGCTGCGAAGGAGGGTGATGTGGTGGTTGTTCTTGATGGGGGAAAGGTACCCTTGACGTTACGCAAGGTTGAACCCAGAGATGGTGCTGAGGGTGAGGTGTATATGGTTGTTGGTTCAACCTACGTGCATGGTTTCATGGACGGTGAGGCGGAGGCTGGTGTCACTGAAGCTTGGTTGCAGAAGCGGGAGATTCTGATCGCGTGATTCTTCAAAGGTAGACCGAGGTTTTGACCATCACAAATTAGGAGAGCTCTGTTCATACGAATTATGGTGCTCTATAGTGATACTTGCTCGGGACTACCTGAACTTAGTCCATCCTAGGTTCCATAGTTGGTTGCAAACAACAAAGCACTCCGTGAACAAATAGCATCTTTCCCGCCTTAACTACGATCGTCCCGTCAATGAGAGGATATATAACATTACTGAAAGTCCTTTCCATGGCCATCATCCCTCTTGAACATATCCCAAACTGCTTCCAAGTCACAATCGTCAATCGGGTTGGACTTCAGAGCCGCTTCGTGGTTCGCATGCGCCTTATCCAGTCTATCCTTGCATATTTGTACCACTCTTTCAGCATTCTCGAGCTTGAGGGCGCGTACGGAGTGTGCATCGAATGTCTTCTTGAGGTTGCTCATCGCGGCTAGAGTTTGACTGGGTCCATGGAGTCTCTCGTGAGTTTGGCGAAATGCCTCGTCGGCTTCTTGCTTTCGATTACGAGTCTGGACTCTTTCGGCTTGGGTTACTGCCACGGAGCAGTCGCGGTGCAACAGATCTATCAGTGCTTTTCCGGCGTCTCTTTTGAACGAAAGGGCGGTATCAAGTTCTACCTCCATTGTGCGGCGGGCAGTTTTGATCAGATCAAAACTGAGATTTCCCAGAACTTCATCGATGGTGACCCGAGCACGCTTATTTCGGCTTGAGTCTGAGGTTGCATCTTCGAGGGCTCGCTTCGTACCGCGTGATGGATCTCGAAGTTCATGTTCCGTGGACGCGATCGTATCGTGGAGTATATGTGGCTGTCGCTGCTCGGCTGGCGGGCTGGGTGAAGGAGAACTCAATTGCGAACCGACAGTTTCATCTTCGGGTACTTCTTCTTTGCAGTCAACACCAGTCTCGGAACCTGCATAGGTGTTAGCCGATGCCCTGCATGTCTCGGCATTTCGAGAGCGTGGCACAGGCGACCTCATTCACATGGTGTATAACAAACTTGCCTGGCGATGAAATGCGGACATTTCCCACTTCGGCAGGAGATGAAGTCAAGGACTGGTAGGCGAGCAACACTCGGTTCCTGGAAAGGGGCCACGGTTTTGGAGGCTTGCTCTTAGACTTGGGTCCATATTTGATGGTGGCGCCATCTTCGACTGCATTTCTGAGACATCCGTCAGGCTCCCATAGAGAGATCAAGGGAATGTTTCGTTCGGTGGCCAGCTCAGAAATGGCCTTGAGGCCGCGGAGCACGCTGGCTGAAACTTTGCCTTTTTGGAAACCCGCTCGAACATCGGCAGGGATCCAGTCTAGACCTTCCCACTTTTCGTTGAGCCATGCGATGTTCTTTTCACGGCCATCGGGATTGTGCTTCTTCGAAATGATCCTTGATAAATATCTCGGTGCCCCACGCCGAGCCATGTTTCGCTTGTTCAATCGGTTCGATCGATGTTTCTTCAAGACGACACTTGGTGTCGGGAAGGTGGGAGTCTAGCCAAATAAATGTTAGGAAATCTCGCGACAGGTATCCGGGAGACTCACCGATGGCGCTGCAATAGATGAGGTGCTTATCCAGTTTGGCGGGCTGCTGTGGAGATGGAGAGAATATCGCGAGAGAGAAATTGAGAGAATCTTTGTGGTGTTTTGGGGAGAACCTCAAACGCGAGCTTCGTCCGCGTGATTCATAAGGTGACAGGTAACGTATTTGGTGGGTGTCTTCAAGCAGTGCCTGCCAGCTGTTTGCTCTCGAACCACTGTATCGCGCACCTGCATGACACGGAAAGTGACTGGCTCACCTGAGCAGCAAGGACCATGGAATACCAGCATTTCTCGGGTCTAAATTATCGCCATTCATAGAGAATCCATCGGGCAGGATCGCCGTGATCCTGAAGATCATTTCTTATATCACTTTGAGCGCTTCGTGTCAAAGCAACAACCAGGGCATCTGCTTGATTGTGTTATCACGCAGTAGATTCGGAGGTGATAACGAAATGAGGATACCCAGTACTCTCAGATTGGGCTAAAGACTGAATGACTTGAAACCGTCTATAACCGTAATGCTTACCACATTTGCTTGTCAATCTAGAGCTACAACCGCATGCAGTTCTCCCTATGGAGTCGTGAAACGATCGCATTCATGAATGCAACGGTGCAGATCCGTACGGCTGACGGCATAACAAAGCCACTAAATCTCGATCACCCAGGCTCGAAATGTCCAAGACCAGCTGTCAGTTGGGGGCGGTGATGTCATTATTCAACACACGCAGTCCACGCAGCGCTGAGAGTTCTCCTTTTCAGGCGCTTGGCCTGTAGATCCGTATCACAAGGGACGTTATCAGCCACTCCTCTTGAGCCAACCTTCGTAATTCTGCACTTGGAAGTGAGTAGGGCATCTGGAAGATTGACGACGCTTTTTCAAGTTATTTAAGCATGATTTTATAGCGTCGATCTTCCTAACTGAGCTTGAAATATATTCCACGATTGACCCAGCATCTTTCTTGTTCAACTTTCTCTCTGTCGCCATCAATGTCACCCTTATCATCCTATCCGATACATTTAGAACTCCGTGTGCCTTTCCCAATTACTTGCGTCTCTTTACCCTGACTTCGCTATGGCAATGGCATATCATCAACCCCAGCAGTACGCTCCATCTTCGGGGCCGCCACCGCAGCGGGCCATGTATGGGCACACCCAAAGCCATAGCCATCCCATATATCATCCACCGCCCACTCAGATTCAAGGCCGAGCTCAGTTCAAAATCACTAAGCCTTCATTCCACGACCGCTACGAGTGCAAGCCTGACAATGCACTTGACGGTCCTGTCCCATACAGCCTTGCCATCTCAAGTAATCAGAAGAAGCAACCCGACTTGGTCTTGAACGCCGAAGGGATCGCAATGGCTGCTTGCTATCTCCCAAATGCAAGCAATTACTACAATAGCGATGAGAAGATATTTCGCATTGGTCTCGGAGATCCGTCAAACGTTCGGTGGACAGAAATGCTGTACCGCGGAAAGGACAAGTACGGTTGGACATTTACCTTTAATCTTCCAAACACAGGGCAGCCCGTTCCAATGACTTGGAGTAAGGACAACAGCGTGGCTATAGACGGTATGAAAGCTTCTCGTTTAAGCGATAATAACTTCAAGCTGCTGGATCCAAATGGCCAGCTCATGGCAGTCTTTACAAGCCACACCATGAGCTTGCGTCTCAGTGCCGTTGGAACCTTACAGATCAACATGGATCTCGGCCCCATGTTTGAGTATGCCGTCATCACAACTTTGCTGTCTATCTACGATTTTCAGAAGCGCGAGGAAGACAGTCGATCAAGTAGTGCCAGCACTGCGGGCGCCGCTGCCGCCAGTAGTTGTTGTTGATCACAGAACTTACGTGTAGTATTGAACAGAAAAGTCTGCTGCCTCTTGTCATACACCTTGTTACACAAAGATAGAACTTACAAAACGTTCAATAAATTTTGGTATGGGCGTGTAGGTTCGGGAATGTCATCATGTTAAGAAGTTTGTGTGAACCTTGGTGTATCTGGGCGTGGTTGATCCAGTCAAGAGCTCAAGAATTACAACTCCCTTCAACAAAGTTTAGGTCGCCCAACTCTATCCTTTTAATTATGGCTCATCTCTGTTCTCTTGACTTTAAGAAGCAGAAAAGTTAAATAAAGGCTTTTATCTCAAACTATGTCAGGACAAGGAGTCTATAAATACCCCCACAAAGTGCCTTTAGTCCTCTCCCTCGCTGTTTCTCGCTCTTTCAATTTAACATATCGCTCCCCTCTTCTTCTTTATCCTTCAATATGAGTTCGATATCGCCTCTGTGTAGTCTTCCAGCCGAGCTACTTCTCATGGTTATGGAGTGCTTGGGGTGTCCTTCCAGCATAAGAGCGTTCGCCTTCTCATATCCCAAGGCCTTGCATCTACTCCAGGCACACCGTCGACGTGTTGTGGGAACAGCCGTACGGGCTTTTGACCGAAAGCTTCCAATTGAAAAGACATTCGGATATGACGTTCGCGCTTGTCGCTTACGCTTAGCTTTGCGAAATGTGGCGTTCTTAGATCCTGCAGAAGCGAAACAAGAAGTATGCAAGGCAGACTTCTATGGCGACTGGTGCAACTTGAAGCTGCTCTGCGAGATGACCAGCCTTAACAATGAAATCGACCGATTCATCTCAAGATACTCAGTTCACGCTTGGAACAAGATCCAAGACGACTATGCTAGGGTATTCTCACACCGAAGGGTCGGTGTATCGAGGTTTGAGCCTTACCAAACGGTTGACCTTACTGATAGCGAACTGAGGCGGTTACGAGAAGCATTCCTTGGCTTCGAATGCAAGCGACACCATCTTGTCTACGACAAAACCCTATTGCATGAGACAAAGCTATATCAAGCTACGCTTTTGCCAATCTATAGCCAGGATTCCTTTTCAGAAGGGTACTCTATTCACAACAGCTTCAACGGCGCCTGCCTGTCCATTTTCTGCTTTATATTCCAATGCTATGAAAATCTCATACGACGCGTTGATCGACAACTCGAGCTTGAGGAATCACGCAAAGATTCGGAGCCTCGATGCTCTGAACTCGTACGTGTTGCTAGATTCCGTGCGAGGACTCGAGATGAGGAGCTACGTTACATTGCTCTACTCTGTCTGCAGGGTTATGTCTGCCTCACCGTTGCAGAACACTATACCAATGGTGAACTCCTCCAGTTCGTTCTCGGGAGCTTCATGTGGTTTTGCAAAGATGGCACGAATAATATTCCAGACCCTTATGGTAGGTTAGTGTCTAATCTTGAGCACTTCAGTCCGGAGTATTATTCGAATGGTGATACAGCCTATGAGCCCTGGAGCCGAGGACGATTCTTCTGGGATCAAGCACGTATTTTAGAACTCCAGCAGCGCGTAACACTCGACTAGTTTACCAGTAGACTTTATAATACTCATTCTCTCAATCAAAGATCTCTTAGTACTTACACAGGCTGGCCTTGGTGAGACAATGAATAGATACGGATACTGTTTGGCTTTACAAGCCAAGCCAGGTCCGCGCTCCCTTGGGCTAGGCTATCGATAGGGGCAAGGTAGAAGCTCATTAGCGCCTGGTTCGGCCGCTGAGGAGCTGCGCCATCATCCTTGTTTCAGATTCTGATGAAGAGTTCTGTGAAATATGGGGATATGGGCTCTCATCCTTTACGCTTACACATCATGCTATAATGTCTCGTCCCAATGGTCCTGTGGTATTGATGGTAGGTAGATACGGCGCTAGCGCCAAGTTCAGCGACTCATGGGTGAAGGCTTGTCATTATCTGCATATTTTCAGATATTTAATATGTAAGAGATCATCTTATTCTATCCCCCGGTCTGTTTCTTGGAGTCGTGAGATTCCGTTGATGCATTGAACCATTGCACGGGACATAAAAGTTACAGAGGTCCTATGGTCTTATCCTGACTCCATATGGACCTTTGACCGGCCCTAAAGGAGGAGGAAAATATCCAGCTCTTGGAACAGATTTAAAGGTTTATTAGCCTAGATACATTTTAATCGGCCAAATTTACCTGAGTTATTCTATCACTCAAAATCAACGTTCCAAGTTTTCTTCACTGTTCACCCTGCCTTAAGGCTGAAGCGACTGGGGTTTGTCGTTTAGATAAGGAAGCACCGCTAAGATAAGAAGAAAACGATGCGAAAATCCTCTGAAGCCCACTGTAATTTGAGGGCACAGTTCAAGCATCGCCCTGTTTCAAAGACAGAGTCGCATTGACGGAACATTAGTGCTTATGATCTCGAATTGCAACCAATAAAACACGCTATAGATATTGAGAAACCTTGCCCGATAATCGTCGGGTTGGAACGTAGGATTCTGTCACGTCCCTGATGCCGATACCAATTTCCAGCTTCCCACTCGATCCATGGGGCACTCTTCAGAGCAAGAAAACTGCTGACTAAATCGAGGTGCCAGAAATATCTACTTTAAGGTCCACTAAATCTGTACTGGATTATTCTTACTTTGCCCACGTCTTTTTGTCACTTGGAACAGACGTTTGAACTTTTCTCGGCTCCCGAGATTGTTGACCACGCATAAATAAATGTGACGATCCCAAGGCCAACGGTTTCCCTCGTTTCCTGGTACCACTCTTTTACACTCCTTTTGACACTCGTTTTATCGTTGCTTCTTCAGTATGAAGTTTTTGTCGCTCTTTAGTTTCTTTTTAGCAGTCACTGCTTGCCGCAGTACTCCCTCACCCCAAAAGTCGGCCAAGATCGACGTTCACGCTCACTTTGTTCCGGTTTTCTATGCCAAGGCCTTGAAAGAGGCTGGACATGTACCTGGCCCAGATGGCATGCCCTTTACTCCTGTGAGTTCTGCACTGATAGCCTATTCATAAGATAGGCATAAGCTTATATCAGTAGGAATGGGATGCCGAGTCTCATCTGCAATTTATGAAGGAAAATAACATTGAGAAATCTATTTTGTCAATCTCAAGCCCTGGGGTCTACCTCAACGTTCCCTCCAAGGATGCCACCAATACAGCTATCAAGTTGGCCCGTTGAGTTAACCAGTATGGTTCCCAGGTTAAGGCCAAATATCCCAAGCAGTTCGGCTTTTTCGCGTCACTTCCTCTACCTGACATCAAGGCTTCCTTGAAAGAGATTGACTATCTCTTCAAGCAGCTCAACCCGAAGCCCGATGGCATCGTCATGATGTCCAACTACTACGGACTGTATCTCGGCGATCGTGATCTTGAGCCCATCTACGACGCCCTCAATGAGCTCAATGTCACTATCTTTGAGCACCCTACCACCCCATGCACTCAGTTCAACAAGATGCGGTTCGATATTGACAAGACCGCTCCCTCCATCTCGCAACAACAATGGCAGGCTCTCAACCGGCCAGTCGCCGTGCGACAATTTGCTGCTCCTACCTTGGACTTCCCTTTCGAGACGGCGCGTACCTTTGCCGATTTATTTTACACGTCAATGCCGACCAAATTCCCCAACCTCAAGTGGATCATGTCCCATGCTGGTGGTGGCCTGATCCCAACCCTTGACCGCATCATTACTTACAGCGCTCTCTACCCTGGTCTCAACCTGACAGAGGCTTCTATGAAGCAAACCCTCTCTGAGAACTTCTACTTTGACCTTGCTGGTCCTTGGCCTGTCAACTTCGCCATTCCTGCACTGCTTCGATGGGTTGATTACACGAGAATCGTTTGGGGATCTGACACTGTCTTCACGCCCATGTCAGAAGCTGCGAAGTATGCTGCTGCTTTCGATAAGGATGTTGAAGAGGTATTCCCGGATCCTCGAAAGGCGAACGCTATTCGAGCGACTAATGCTCGAGGTCTGTTCGGCTAAATGCGAGTCCCCGCTCCTCGAAAGCTTTGCCAGGCGGTGAATTGGTACAGCGGCAATGTCGTTCCAGTACGTAGTATTAATATATCCTTCTTGAATACTTATAGTCTTGTTTTCTCTCGGAAACCTTCTCTAGGAGAGGCAAGAAGACCCAGGACCTTGGCCATAGGCGATGAAAAAGTTTAGGTAATTTAGCCTAAGCTTAGGGGATGCTTTACTGAGTTTATTTTGGCATTCTCCTCTAAACTTTTAGTTTTCTTATTTCTTGAGGGCCATTCATTCCTTAAGGATCGTCTTGTGCACATAATAGGCGTCGTAGATAAAGGATGTATGACATGATGGTGACTTATAGCCATGTCATTCACCCGGGAGATCGTCCTTTTCCCACCAACTGACTATTGTCATTGGTGGACTCTACCCCAGATTCCATGAGACCTCGGCATTGATACCCAGAAAAGATGAGCTTGCGACCCATGCCATCGGGTCAACGCCGTCCGAGGTAACGTTTTAAGCTTCCCCGCCGGTTTCTCCAGAATTCATCCATGGCATCTGGGTTCAATGCTGGCAGAATCTGCTGATCCGGGTAAATTGACCTTTTCATATTTAAACAGCCAGTGAATCCTTTGGAAAGATCTTTTATCATGACATACCAGATTGACTCAGCAAATATCAGGATGAAGTCAGTTCACATCCCAAGCTTATATCCTGGGCCGTTAGTACTAACACTGAACTTAGGCTCGACCCCAAGCAACTCACAGCCTTTCTGGCTGCTAACTCTACTGGCGTTGGTGTTCTGGTGTGCCCGGGTGGTGGCTACAGTGTGATGTCTATTAGCTACGAAGGATTTGGTCCGGCAGAGTACCTCAGCACTCTTGGCATCGACGCATGGGTTCTCAACTACACAACGGCTAGTATCAAAACTCCGCCACTGTATCCGACACCTATGGACGAAGCCTTGGCTGCTATCGAGATGATTAGAAAGCAGAGCCCTGGAACCAAGAAGTTAGGCGTCATGGGCTTCTCAGCAGGTGGTCATCTTGCAGGAACAACACTTACGAATCCAAAGGCAAAGCTCGACTTTGGTATTCTGAGCTACCCGGTTATCACCATGGAGGACGACTACACCCACGAGAATTCACGGTACAACTTGCTCGGAAACAACCCAACCCGCAAACAGATCGAAAGCCTATCCGTGCAGAATCGAGTTTCGGACAAGACCCCACCGACGTTCCTCTTCCATACTTCAAATGACGAACTCGTCCCGGTTCAAAACACATATCTCTATGCAAATGCTATGGCTAAGCATGGTCGAAAGGTTCAGGTAGTGGTACTGCCTGATGGAAAACACGGCATTGGCCTGGGCGTTGATGATCCTGTGCGAGATTGGAGACCGGAGCTGGAAAGATTCCTCAAATACTCTACCTAGGTGTTTTTATCTCAATCAGTGTGAGGTCTTGACTAAGTCATACAGATACTAATTTAATTTGACAGATGTATACAAAACGTCTAAAATGGCCCTAGGTATATTCAAAACTTAAAGAGTATTATTATATACAATATAAGATAATCCAAACTGTGAAATGCATAGCATTGGGTCACAAAAGAGAGGCTTAAAGGAGCTTTATTTCCGATCTTAACTTGTCCACAGCCTTGTATCTCTGTCTCCTTGTTTCTGAGGTGGCTTGTATAGCCATAATGTAGACTATCTGCTATAGATAGCAGAAAGTAAACTGAAGCTTAGCAGTTGAGACTTGTGGCTGAGAGCTTAAATAAGCAGCAAAGTGAATGACCTGGGTCACACTCCCGAGAAGCTTACAAAGCTTTGATACCATATTATAAGCCCCTTCACAGTGTTGAGATATTTTATAAGCATCATAAGACGCCTTAGCAGCTTTGGTAGGGCAGCCTCTGATATAGCCATAAGATGATACCTGCTTCGCTCGTATCAATGAGCGGAAAATTGGTATGCATAAATTCAGAAGCGTCGTGTAACCATGGTGATTCTGGTAGTCGTGATTTGTATCAAGTTTTGTAGAATAGTAGTATAGAACTGGATACATAATGATGATTGACAATGATGATGTTTGGGACCAATCAAGTTCTGCGATTTAAACTATCGGCCATAAGTGCTAAGTGTATATCATGGGACTCGCAGCTCTGGCCCACTTAGTAGACTTTTATGATGAGTTTATGATATCCTGCTCTATGGTATAGACAATATATCAAAACATATACTAAGCCTGATCATAAATTAATTTAGACGTTTCATATTAATCTTAGAATACCTTTTCTCCCGCTATCTGCGCATTTTCTGGTTAACTTCTTATTTATATGACTAGTTGATCGAAAATGCAATGGGCAAGAAAAACTCTGGCATCCTCAGGGTTATCGCCTCTGTCTTCCTACACGAACAAGCGGGCGTGGCCCATATCATTCTTCCAACGACCTTGTTCCCTTGCACCAAGACTGCTAAACCGTCTTTCTCGGAGCATAAATACTTGAGGCCAGGGATACGGTAAGCTTTCGCGTTTCGTAGCTCCGTTGGTAAGACGAAACTCCCGACCTTATGTGCAAACATCCTATTACACCCTGTGCAAGTGATACCAACGGTGTAATCATACGGTCTGCAGTGAATAGTCCCGAATCTGGCTGCATTGTCTCCCAGAACAGTTTGGTCATCGCCAGGTCTGATTTTGGAGAATGATAGCACGTCTGCGAGCCATTTGATGTTATCTTTGCCATCCAATGGCCAGGAGGGAATTTCTGGGCTGTTGTAGAGTCTGTTCAAAACTCTTTGCAGACGGTCCACCTCGTTCTTCTCTTCCAGGATTTCCATGGTGGTTGATGCACTCCCTGTATGAGTTCTTCCCAGGGCTGTAATAAAATCTTTGACATCTGGTCCATCAATCTCCAAAGTTAGCTTCGCGGCAGACGAAAAGGCTTGCATCATCGAACCCCGCTCTGGTCTACCGACTATCGAAACTGTTCCTATGTCTTCCACATGAAGAGTAACACGTTGCTCCGAATCGTTAAACGTTGTGTGTTTTCCCAGTGTTGGCGGATGCACTTCTTGTCCCAACTGCCAGGTGAAAACGTCACTGTATCCAAATTCAGACCAGTGGCCAGGACCTCGTCTTTCGATAGCTCCCATAAAAGGTGTTATCAACAGCGGAGAGTAGTCTCCCACTTTGAGGCATTCCCACGCAATTCGATAGTACTCTGTCTTAAAACCAGAACTTTTTGGTATAAATGACCTTGCACGAACTATTCATCTCAATGCATAGAGGAAGTCCATTCGGTCTCTACACCCTCTCTTGCAGAGCAGAGCAGTTGCCATGGCAAAGTTCATCCTCTTCAGTAACTTTGCCTGTCTCAGTGGACCGAGACTCCATGGGACTTGATTCTTGCCCATCTCGACCTTTCTTTCGAGATCATGCACCTTTTCATGTTGGCGAACCTCATCCTTCCAGGCCTTGAAGACCTGGCCCAAGAATGTAGGGTCGTCGAGGTCGGGGAAGTAAGTATAGTTGCTGATCATCATTCTGACTCGCTCACTTCTGATGAACTCCATAGCAGTCCAAACGCGCTTGAAGTACTTGGAGTTGCAGACTGATATGACTGAGCTGAGGCGTTCTGGAGCCCGCTTGTCCTTGTAGAGCTCAGTTACTACATTCGGACTCACATCGTCGAAGTACAGGACACTTGTCTCGGCTGTGCTAAAGAGCTTATTCATAGTGGGAAGAATATTACTCCTCAGAGCATCGGACCATTGAGGCACGCTTATGTAGTCTAACCAAAGTTTTCTGGCCCCGTATCCAGGTCTTTCGATTCCGTTGTAAACTTTAACCGAGATGTCTAGAACACGACGGGCTGCTTCTGGAGTCTCTGGTACTTTTTTTTTGTTGCTGCTGTGCCTTTGAGATGTTGGGATCCCAGACATGGGAGACTGCTGAGAAGGGGATCTTCGAGCTGACTACACAGTCCATATGTCGATCGAAGAGTATAATATCGCCTCGGGGCGTAGACACCATGGCGCTTGAACCTGGGCGACGCGAGCCTGTCTGCTCAATGCGAAATGTACGAATAAGAGGGCTGCTTTTGGACGACTTCTGGCACTGCAAGCACAGTAGGTTCTCTTCTGTAGGCTCGCGCCATAGTTTTTCAAGAAGCTGTCCGCCTTCCATGCTGCGTCTATGAGTTTGTGGTGTCAAGTTTCTGGAGACAGCAAAAGCAAGTGGGAAAAGTCAGGGTGAGATAAGGGGTTTGCAAGCTGCACATCTTCCACAAACAAGGCATTTAGTTACACAGGGACGCATTGGCAACCCGATATATCATGATGATTGGCCGGTTACGACAGTTCTCAGTAAGCAGCACACGGAATTTACCATGCTGCATACAATATCTTTCAATCCCGTTTATGGTTTTCGTGGTTTTGGTGACTGAAGATATTCATGAGAACAATCAACTCATGTTTCTGAACATCCCACGAATACTCTTCAACTCTCACACCTTTCAAAAAGTTGTCGAAGATTTAGTCCTGTTTACGTTCACTCTGACAACAATCAGATTTGTTGTATTCTGTTCTACCGCAAACATTACCGATAATTTGGTTTGGCTGGCTGCTGTTAGCGTCTGACTGTCACGGGTTAGCCGTTATCTTAGGCTGTTAAACACAACGTCTAAACCTGAGCTAGAAGACACTATTGGAACCAATGTTCGTATCTTGACCTTTTAGCAGTATTCAGATGCAGAACACTAGCCTTGTTCGAGATGGGCTCCGAACTGAGGAAATTACCAGCAGTCGAGAAAAACAGCCCCTGGCTAGAATACAAAAAGTGCCGGTTTGGCAGCATGTCACTCTGGTTCATTCACGTCACTATTATACACAATGGCTCCCCGATCTTTAAACGCGTTGATTGTTACAGCGTTGGCTTTGGCTGGTGTTTATGCCGGGCCTTGCAAGCCATCGCTGGCCTCGTCATCTATCATCTCGTTTTCGAGTGCATTCACGACGTTAGAAGGATCATCATCAACTGAGACACAGACTACAGCGGGTGTTTCGTCCAGCACTGAGACACTCTCGACTGCCGACGCCGATACCACCGAGGCTCTATCGACCACTACGGCCCTATCGAGCACAGAGGAGCTGTCGACCACTGTGTTTGAGTCGACAACATCGGCTGAAACTACCACAGCAGCGGCAACGACGACAACGGAGGCTGGATGTACAGTCGCTTGCACCCATGTCATCAGAAAGAGCGGCGCTTGTACGATTCCATTCCAAGTCGCAACATGGCAGATCGACGAGTCTTGGCATATCGGTTCACCCACAGTAACTAATCAGGCGGCTTGCGCCGACGCCTGTGCCAGCGACTGTCGTTGCAAGTCCTTCGCCTCGTATGGCACAAGCTGCAACCTGTACTCGGGCACTCAGGCCCAGGTGAATCCACCTTCCTTCTACCTCGGCTCCTATTTCTTCGATATGGCGGGCTGTTACGAATGCGATGATTAATAAAGGGGGTATTATAAGGACTTTGCAAGAAGCTATCTCTAGGTCATTGAGATCAAGCCACGAAGGTCTACTTCGGACGATCCAAAGGCTGAAGCTGTAGCTCTTTGGGGAATCAGGCGCTGGAAGAGTTTATTACGAAGCCAGCCATAGTCTTCATAGAATTGGAGTTAGAAAAACGGGGTTGACTTGATCTACTACATGTTCCATCTTGATGCAACAAAGGCTCGCGATCAGTCTTGTCCGAGTCGAGCGTGCTTATGCGCTACTACGACTGAACAGACAATGCGTGCTGACAGCCTTGGGGCAGCTTAGCCAAGTTTCGCTTTTTAGCTCCACGGGCACAGGCAAGTCAATGTCTTTATCCTCGACGTCCAGTCCGTAGATATGAACCAAAAGAACACCACCCTTAACCACATACGACCATACCTACCAGAGAACTCGGGATCCCGTCCGCTCTCCCATAGATAAGCTGGTAAGGGGCGGATTAGTAGTTGGGTCGGTGACGACCAGCGAATCCCCGCTGTTGTATGTTTTTGCCTGTTGTAGCTGTACCCTTTTTTTTGTCCTTCTGCCATTGTGTTTGTAGGCGTGGTTGGGAGGAAACTGGACGACCGAACCCCTCACTGATCGGGCATGTCGCGCATGCATCACAAGCAAGTCGATGTAGCTAGACAAGCGGAGGCGCAAAGGTCGTAGATGTAGCAAGCTTGCTTTCGGCTACGAAGAAGGGGGCGGTGAGGTGAATGAACGACCAGAGGCATCACTGTCGATAATGGGCCTCCCGGCCTAGACTTGGTCAATGGTGAAGCCAACGACACGGAACACTCGAGAAGGTGCCGACCAAAAATCCTGCGATCCAAGCGTTGTTCGGAGAATGTAGCTTTGGTCCACTAGAACCTGCGCACTTGATCCCTCCCGAGACGTCTGGTCTTAAGTAGGGGTAGATTCTCACAGGGCGCGATGTTCGCCGCGGGATGATTTGTAGGCGTGAACAGAAATAGGCAGCAGTTGACCAACAGGAGTCAAGGTAGTAGGTAAGGAGGATGGAAATTGTTCAGAAAGTGGGTAGCTCCGGTTCTTGTGATTGAGACTATATACAAACATTCACGGGTATCCATACGAAAAGATTTTCTGTAAACAAAAATACAAGATGCAACGCTTGTAGATCGTATTGGAACATCAAGTTGGGCAGCCACGGCATCGTTCGTGTAATGCTCGAAGGAACCGCTTGGCAAGATGGTGTCGCCCATGGCGATGCCTTCAAGCCACCTCTCGCGGTCGTCATGTCGGACTCGAGAATATGTGTCGCGACGAGGTTGTTCGTCGCTGGTATTGGGACCGAGACTCGTGGATGTAGGCTACAGCCTGTTTGGGCGTCGACTCTGGCGAGGCCGTGAGGAAGCGCGGGTTTGTGTTGGGTTCGTTGGCGTGTAAAGGATGATCACTCTGTAAAAGATTAGTCAGGATGTGTCAAGGTCTATTGTGGTGCAAGTCAAGAAATACATCATGAGGTTCATGTGTGGTGCAAGCGAGCCCTCTAGACCAGACGCGCGATTACCAGTATCACAACAGAGTGGCATAGGTGCATTCAACCAAGCCAAGCCTTGCCATGGCGCCCAGTGGTTTTCGCAGTCGGAGACAGAACCATCGAGGGTGAAGAAAATGCCATCACCGTGCTCATAACAACAGCGGTGACTGAAAATCCGTCGATGAATCCTTCTTCGGCCAGCGCCACAGACAGTCCATGAGGGGATGCTGGCATGACTTTGGGCGGCAGCGGCGTCGCGCACGAAACATCAGGAAATGAATGCTGAGTACGCTTGTTTGTTGACCAACAGTCGATAACCCGACCCGTCAACTTGTAAGACGTGTAACGATATCTTCGTACACATCACTGCGAACTTTGTCGAGGAATGACTGCGCTACTCCATTTTCGTCTCTGTGCACCTGGATGGAATCCACCTTGGCATCCAGATCCTCTAGATCGTCTCGTAGCTCGACCAGGCGCGTATCGTAGCCTTCCAGAACATCAGCACTGTGTTTGTCCTGGCCTTGGAGCTGTTCCACATCACGCTGCAGGGAGCTAAAATCCTCGCGAAAAGTCGTGACTTGCTGTCGTAGCTGATCGAGATCTGTTCTGAGGTTGCTGTTCTCTTGTCTCAAGGCAGAGAGTTCCTGGTGAACGAGTCGATCCCTTTCACTCCGCGCCTTGAGCTCGGCCCAAATTTGAGCAAGTTCGTCTCGTGCCTCGTCCGGGCTGCTAATGCGGCGGCGCTTTCTCTCATTGATTGGGGGAGCTGGCGGTGGAGACCCAGTCTCGTCATAGGCCGGCGGTGCGTCGTCTTGCGGGGAGAGATCGATGACCTTGGTCTCAGTGTTTGCAGAAGGATGCTTGTCGTGGGAAGACGCAAAGCGAGTTTGTTTCACGGCGTCGCTGATGGACTGAAGCTCGGCTTTGGAAAATTTTGTAGCATCGACGTGAATACTGAATGAGGTTGCGGCAGAGAGCATACGAAGAGCATCCAAGACCTTGCCTGACTGTGTTCGGCTGGGGGCCAACGGCTCTTTGGCAGCGGTGGGAACAAAGAGCCGAACGTTCTTGTTTGTTTGGAACTTCAGACGTGCAACGGGGCACTTGAACTTCTCTTGTACCGCTCCCGGTGCCGTTGAAGCAAAAGCGAAGTCGAACGATGTGATGGAAGAGGGATCGATGGAGATAGCAACATTTGAGATGCCCTCGACTCCTTTCAAGTTCATCGGAAATCTCAGCTCGATAGTTGCGCACAATCCGCTCAGGTAAATTCGTAGCATGATGCTGTCGATCTTTGGATCGGGCTTCGAGAAACAATGGGTTGCGCCATCGTGTTCCCATTCAATAACGGCGGGCGTAGTCTCATCGACGTCAAGGCATGACGAGGTGGAAGACGACATTCCTGGAATCCATCAGTAGCACAGCGAGCATCAGACGTACCTTAACGCCGTCAACAACGAGACACGAGCAGAGATGAACGGCTCCGTCAACAGGCAACTCGTGGTCTCCAGCAATGCTGCAAGACCGTGCTTGAGCTCCAGCAACACTGCGAGTCCAAGCCAAGTCCCTTCTACAGTCCCCGGTTGTTCCAACGAAGGGCGCACCGCGCACGTTCGATGGGTACAAGTCGGAATTTTATAACGGTCTGCAGTGACAGTTCACCGGGTCTCTGAACGTGCTTATTGTTGGGGCGCGAGGAGGGTCGGACGGGGAGCAAAATCTCGATCAACGAGCCCACTTAATCTCCAGCACGCTGCAAGAACAAGTTGGAGCGCTTCTCTTGATAGGTGGTTGTGCCGTCGGGTCGGGTGAGGATGGTGATGATGTTGCCTTTGACCAGAGCGTGAATGCGAATGGCGTTGAGGGAATTGTGGGGCCGTCACATGACCATGAAAGCAGTAATGGCTCAAGCTCGTTTCGATGCTCAAAGAAAAAGAAAAAGCAAGAAAAGTTCTGCTGGAGAAAGGATATCTGAAGAAATGGATATTTTGGTCACTGTTCAAAAGAATAACTATTGGGAAAAAGGCAACAGCAGAATGGTTAAAGTTGTCACTGTTTGGAGTGAGGAAGCTCAATGATTCAAAGGATATGGTCTGTGCGTTCGGCTACTCAGTTGTTCCGCGACACACAGTGTAGGTACAGTGTTCTCGACTGCATAGACTGTGCTTCAATCGCTGGGTTACCCTGCAGAATCTAGATTCTAGATAAAGCCTGAATCTGTAAATCTCATGGGAAACTGACATGAATAGACTTTGTTACCGCTGCATCTGTTGATACAATCTAATACCCTTTTGTTTTTCTTTTTTTTACGATAATTTAAAGGTTTACGCATGATATGATGAAATGTTTGTGCAATTTTACAAAGAGTAGCAAAAGAATGAGCCGAAGACATTCTCGTAAATCCGTTATCACACATTAAGACGCAGAGGAACACCACAAAGAACATAAGAGGGACAGAAACTTGCCTAGGTATGTCAGACTCTGTGGCTACACTCTTACAGGAGTTTTATAACCTTGACTTATTAAACTTGTGCAAACTGAATTTCCTGTGCTGCAAAAAGTGAAGCGTGAGATGCGCGTCAAGGTTGAACGCGTAAAGTTGGTTGACGCGCAGATCATACCAGTGCTTTTCACTTGCTTATATCCCGTGTGTTCATTCGGTAGAAACAAAGTCTATCTCTGGTACTTCATCCAACAAATCATTTGCGCTTGTCACTAAGATTTACCATTCACCTTGACAGAAACTCACATCTTGTACCAATTTTCCAAATCGCCTATTCTATGCGCCCCGAGCCCTCAGTCTATCCGTGCAAGAAACTCATAAAACCCGACAAAGCGTGCACTTAAGACTTCCCATTCGTCATCCCCTCCCACCTCTCAAAGTTCCCAGCTTCCAGGCCAAACAAGTCCAATAACCGACCAACCATCTGATTCAATATGTCATCCACTGAGCTTGGTCTCGTGTAGAATCCGACAACAGGAGGTGCAATAATCGCACCGGCTCTTGTCACCTCCATCATGTTCCGCAAGTGTATCTCACTCAGCGGCGTTTCTCTCAATGACAACACTAGCCTTCTTCTTTCTTTGAGGCAGACATCTGCTGCGCGGGTGATAAGGTCATCGCAAATGCCGGCGTTGATGGCTGCTAGCGTTTTTACGGAGCAGGGGACAACGATCATGCCATCAACATGACAAGACCCGCTTGCAATTGGTGCGGCTAAGTCATTTGGGTTGTAGACGTGATCTGCTAGTGCTCTCACTGAAGCTGGTGTGTAGTCTGTTTCGTATTTTATGGTCTCAGCTGCCCATTTGCTGATGATGAGATGAGTTTCAACATTCAGCCTCCGAAGTGTTGAGAGAACATGAATACCGATGGCAGCTCCTGTTGCGCCAGTCAGGGCTATGATAATCTTCTTTCTTGGTGCCTCTCCCATGTTGATCACTGAAAGAGCTGAGTTGTAATGTAAAGTGTGAAGATAAGTTGGCGCGTAACCGATAGATTGAAGAGTGCTCCCGGTTTCCAAAAGCGATATAATAGTTATGGTGCTCACAAGTAACAGATGGGACATGCGACTCTTCTTAAACGAAGCTCTTGTCATATCAGACCCGTCAGTTTGGTAGCATTGAGGCTCAGTTCGGGGATCCTCGGTGCCTTCGGGGCCCACATTCCCGGATATTGCGGCTCGGCAGATGTGGACTCGGTGGACTCGGGGCCTCGGACGACCATGCGTCATACGATGAACAGAGTAAATAGTATGAGTTCTATGAAGATATAAGAATTACTGAAGCCCATCAGTTATGCCATTGAAATCAGTCCAGAATCAGCAAGATTTACCATCATGGCTTCTAAATCTCTTCCCCATATGGACTTCCGCAGTTACGTTGAGGCTCTCGAAGCCGACGGCGACCTTGTCTCAATCACTGAAGAATGCGACCCTCATCTTGAAGTTGGTGCAATTATTCGAAAGGTTGTTGAGACTAATGACAAGGCTCCCTTGTTCAACAAGCTCAAGGGACAGGATGAGAATGGCCTTTGGAGAATATTGGGTGCACCAAACTCCCTTCGATCCGACTCCAAGCAGCGCTACGGCAGACTTGCCAGACATCTCGGACTGCCTACAGACTCATCGATGAAAGTTATCTTGGATAAGATGATCGCTGCCAAAACAACACCTCCCATTCCTCCTACTGTTGTTGAGACTGGTCCTTGTAAGGAGCACATCTTGACACCAGACCAGTTCGACCTCACTAAGCTCCCAGCACCACTGCTTCATCAATCAGATGGTGGAAAATACGTCCAAACTTATGGAATGCACATTGTACAGTCCCCAGATGGAAAATGGACCAACTGGTCTATTGCTCGTGCAATGGTCTACGACCGAAACCACCTTGCCGGATTGGTGATCAAGCCCCAACACCTCTACCAGATTCATGAGATGTGGAAGAAGGAAGGCCGTGATATGCCTTGGGCTTTGGCCTTTGGAGTCCCTCCTGCTGCCATCATGGCATCGAGCATGCCCCTCCCTGATGGACTGTCTGAGGCTGAATATATTGGTTCGCTTGTCGGGTCATCCCTTGATGTCGTCAAGTGTGAGACCAATGGACTCTATGTACCCGCCAACTCGGAAATAGTCTTCGAGGGAACCTGCTCTATCACAGATACTGCACCTGAGGGGCCTTTTGGAGAGATGCATGGGTATGTCTACAACGCTGTCTATTTTCTTCCAGCACTGACAGTCACTCTAGCTACGTGTTTCCCGGCGATACTCACCCTTGGCCAAAGTATACGGTAGATCTCATCACACACCGTAAAGATGCTATTCTGCCCGTCTCCAACTGCGGAAGACTGACCGACGAGACCGTAAGCATTAGCTTGTTTGATTCGAAGATAGTGACTGACCTCAGTAGCATACAATGATAGGTCCCCTTGCCGCCGCAGAGATCGGCTTTCTTCTCAAGTCCAAAGGTCTCCCTATCAAGGAAGCCTTCTCGCCTTTCGAGTCTCAAGTTACATGGGTTGCTTTGCAGGTCGACGCCCAGAAGCTACGTGAGATGAAGACAACATCTGAGAAGTTCTGCCGTGAGATCGGAGACATCATCTTCAATCACAAGGTCGGCTATACGATCCATCGCTTGGTAATCGTAGGTGATGACATCAATGTGTATGACTTCAAGGATGTGATTTGGGCTTTCTGTACTCGTTGCCGCCCCGGAATGGATGAGTACGTCTTTGAAGACGTTGCCGGCTTTCCACTCATTCCATACATGTCGCATGGTAATGGAGCGCCTAATCGTGGTGGCAAGGTTGTTTCCGACTGCTTGTTGCCAGTCGAATATACAACCGGGAAAAACTGGGAAGCAGCGGACTTTGGAAATTCGTTTCCGGAGGAGATCAAAGACAGGGTTTGCAACCGATGGCAAGCCTTGGGCTTCAACAGCGCGAAGTAATTTGGGCCATCCTGGCAAAAAAAACTTGTAGAGATTATCAGAATATTTATAGATGTCATTACAAAATAGTGTTTTATTAGAACATCTGTGATAAGCTTAGTACATCTTCTTAGGGCATCGGACTTTGTTGGACAGGTAGGGACCTAGAGACCAAAATCTTGTGGCACCTGGTCCGACATGATGAAATTGTATGATTCAAGGGGAGAAAACGCATCAAAGTCAAAATCTCGAAGCCAATCATCCAAGCTAACCATGCTGCAAGGAGGAATATCAGTACTTTTGAACAGTGGGGAGGGCTGTAACACAAACCTTTGTTCCTGAGTGTTACCAAAATGCTCTGGTAGAACAGGCATGTTTTCCGAAGAAGCCACTATTGGGTGATGCTCTTGCGATGTATTCTCACTTTGGAATCTGATCTCATCCACTGAAGATCGTTGTAGAGCTTGAATTGCCCTGAGAGCTTTCTTGTGCGCCGCAGAGAACTGTCCGACATCGTCGCTGCGCTCAGTTAACGTTTTTACTAGCTCAGCTAGTATCTCTTGGGAGTCTTGATCTTGAGCGTCAGAGCCTTGTCGGATAAAGCTCAATAAGAGTGCTGAGGCAAGACCGTTGTGAACGAAGGCCCATGAACGAGTTGCAAGATTCGAGATAGAGCGTAGCTTGATGAAAGCACGGACACTTCGTTTCAAAGCACCTTGAAAGCGGTTCAAGATCGTTGAACATTCTTCTTCACTAAATTTTCCTTTGTTCTGCGAGGACAGTACAGGGCGGCAGAGGGTAGAGAGGAGAAAGTAGCGGTGGACGATCAGGCTATAGTGTTCTTGTAGCTCTTGGATCGAGGTAGATTGCTGCAAATCCTGAAGATGGAGAGCTAGAGAAGACTCGTAAAGGTCGAAGTCATGAAAGAGCCGGCTATAGTTCCTGACTGGCTCTGTCTGGGGAAGTCTTGGAATATGTCTGAAACTCAAATGGCATAGCCAGTTCATAGCCTGTCGGTAGTCAAGAGGTTGGCTAGATGGATCCAAGGATACAAGAGCTGGGAGGTCTGGCTCTAGGTCCATCTCATGAGAAGCTGGGGGTCTATCAAACGCTAATGAGAGAAGCGCGTCTTGCCAAACAATCGCGAGCCTATGAATAAGGGATACGTCAGCACTCCTAAGACAAATGGTATATTGCTGAGTGACTCACCTTAACTGTTGCGCTTCTGCAGGCGAGAGACGGAGAGCACAGTGGTTCATAGGCTGATGGAGACCAACAGATAGCGCAACTCGAACCGTGGTGCCACCTAGGATCCAAGCTGCACGAGGATTCATGTTATTTTGCAATACATGACCAAGGATGAGCAATGCTTGGATCAGTCTCTTGGAAGGATTCCATAAAAGATCAAAGGAGCCCAGATACTTGAGAGCGGATTGCACTAAGGTGGTCAGTTGCCTGTAAGTGACAGAAAGTGGTGAACTGCTGCTTACAGTTTTGACTGGACTTGGATAGTCGTATAGCAGTGGGCAAATCCGAGAACTGCGCCCCGGCCGCCATTATAGCATGCAGAAGACAAAGGCTATGATTGTCGATCTGCTGTGCCTGAACCTCGTGACTCAAGAGAGAACATATGAGCTTCTCGATCTCAGTGAGATCGTCAAGGACGAACTGAAAAGAGTGAACTCGATCCCGATAGAAGCCAAACAGAGAAATCATGTCTTGGTCAACAGCAAAGGTTGTTTCTGAGCGTCCAGCAGGGGTACCACGTCCACCATCGGAAGCGCCATCCATGCCGAGAAGAGGAAGAATTCCTGTTTCAAACGCGGTGCGACGCTCATTGTTGGCATGAGGTTGGGTAGTATCTGGTCGTGCTACTGAGATGATGGAGTTGTCGCCTAGCAAGGACGGACTCGCGTTGGATACACTGCCATCGCGACTGACAGGGCGCCTGGGTTGCGTTACATTGTTGAGACCATGGCTCGAGTCCGTGATAGCCTGTACTTCTGGTTGGTGAGGTTGCGGAGTTGGGCTTGATGACGCCCGAGGTTGGTCGTAGAAGCAGAGGTCGGAGTGACCGCGCTTGATGCATGTTTGGCAGGGCTGCTGATGATTACAGCGCACTTTTCTCTCTCTGCAAGGCAAACATGCTTTCCTGATACGCGCAAGTTGCCGCACGCGCAGTATGCTCTTCAGATCTGGCGGCTGAGTTGCTGCAGCCTCCCTTCTCGGCGCGTTCGGGTATCTCGGAATATTCGGAGTTCGTTGCGGGGAGTCGTTCATCGCAGAGTTGCTTGTTTTGAGAGTAGCAGTGTATATAGAGAAATAATTCGGCTATATTCAAGGTGACTATTCATTGAGTTGAGAGTCTGTATAGATGCTTGAAGCAAGATTCGCTTGATCCTGTAGTTCGAGATATCCATCGCGCTAGTCCTATAACCTCAGGCACCAAACTCTGCCACTCAATCATTCTGTTGGTGGTTTTCATCAACGACTGAAACATCGCGAAATCGTAGGTTTTCAAGCAAAAAGTCACATGCTGAAACACAAGGAAACAATTGTATATGTATTCTCACCACTACATCTCGTGACTGTCTCGCTAGGTGTTTTATCCTGGGATACGAGAACAAGGTTCAAGTTAACGGATATCGGCTCCAGGGCGCTAGACTCTTCTGATCTTGTAAGCATAGTGTCAAAAATAACTGACTGGCTCGAAAGCTTGAATTATACCAAGCTTGTTCAAGTCTTTTTGTCGTTAGAACTAAACGCCTAAAGTTTTCTCTCCCCCTTAATCGGGTATAAGTGGACATTTGAGAAACCCCAAGATTCATTTTTGCTAGGCAGATCCCAATAAAAGCACGTTCTGGAGGAAGATTCCGGTTATAACAATGCCGTGATGCCGCAACTGTGCCGTTGCATCGGAAGCTCAGCGCCGAAAATGGGGCCGTCTTACTCGTCGTAGAGTCAGCTCCTAGACAAGACAAGTAAGGGCCGACAACTTCAACCCAAAGTGCGCCATTTCATCAACGGCTACGGCACAGCTTAGCAGCTCTGAAGCTAGTCCCCTTTCACTCTGTTTCTCGCGAAAATCAAGCCACGTCATCTGGTCAAAACACAATGCAGGGTTCAACATGCATGCAATAATCTAAGGCTCTAGGGGTAGCCCAGATGACCCAATTATGTTGGACTTGGCTTTGAGAGAAGCTCAGAGCCAAGACTTGTAGTCCATCTTAGCCGTTGGTACTAAACTTATAGAAGCCCAAAGATTGGTCGAAGCGTACTCACAGATGGCTGAGTCTAAGCATGACAATTGAGGCCATTCCCAATTCTGAAGTCCCCGAAAAAACAGATGAAGTCGGGAATGTCAGTGTACGAGAGTCAAGCTTGGAGTGTTGCTCATGTCAGATTTCTGTACCCAAATATAACATCTCTCATTTACATGCTGCCGTGTTATCCCCTCAAATGCATGTGTAAATCCCTTCTGATACAAACTCAAAAACGCCCTGGCCTAACACGAACCCCTGATCGGCTTGTCAATCCCGAACAAGACCCTTTTCTCACGAGATGTCAGGTATTCAAGCACAGACCCCCCCTTCTCCCCATTCATTATTATTTACGTATAAGCAACAAGGCACCAAATTAATTCTCGCATCTTGCCGAGGAACCGCAGCCGCGTAATCTGCCCACGGCAACACGGCTTGCCCAAGTGGAGCAATCTGTGCTGCTCCGCCTCAGCTACCCCGGACCGAATCTTACGAGTTGACCACTGACGAGACTAGACGCGCTTCTAGGCCCGCGACTAGAAGGATTTCGGCATTTTTCGTATGGAGGCGTCTACGATAGAACCAATCCCAGGGTGTTGAGTATTGACTGCTTTGCCTCGCTTGAGAAGCGCTGGCTTGCTCGTATTGGGCTTGTTTGCTCCTTACTCCGTTCGTCGGTTTGAGCGGCGTGGGCAACGCAACTTTCCTCTTTAGTAGGCGACTTTGCGTCAGTGAGGCACAAATGATGCGAGGATAAATACAGAATCATGGCCTCTTCTCCGCAGTTTGACAATTCATTTCTCTTGTACACTTTTTGCTTAATTAATTGCTTTCGTTTGTATTCTCCGCTCGCTATAATGTCTGAGTCAGCCCATCATGCCCATCGGGTTTTCGTCCCCAAGATCCAAACTATCGAAAACAACCCTCTTTCACACCTTCTACCATACGGCTCCTTAATACTTGCTACCAGCATCATCTGCATTGTTCTCCTTACCAACTGCCTCGAGCGATGGATCCTACCGGCTGTTTACAAAGACATCTGCCAAACATTCGAACGAACAAAAGACGAAAGGCGACGGCGGTCTTTTGTCTACTTCCACGTCGGCAGCATCATTCTTTTTTGCGTTCTCTGCAGTGGATGCTATCCTATGGTGTACTTCCTCATCGGCGACGCCAAATTCTCTACACCATTTACCAAAGGCAGCTCTGTCACGATCGGAGACAGCCTGCTTGTTCTTTCCGAAGTCTACAGTTCATATTACATCTTCGAAATATGCTTTCGCACCAAGTTCGCGAGCCCTCTCAGCATTGCGCACCATACTGGACTACTTGTCATCACACAGACAGCGTTGAGTCTTTTTGCCGATCACGACAAGCATCGCGAAGCTACACTGGAGTTCTACATGTGCATGGTCTGGGGTTAGTCAATCAAGGCTCCGTAGTCTCGCGAGTTGAAATATGCTGACAATGCTTTTACCTAGGCACATTCGATGTAATCGTCGAGCTCCCTATCTTCCTCATGATGATCGTGTGGCGAATCAAGCGCCACAACACTCTATTGCTGTCCCGCATGGCCTACACGTGCTGTGTCTGGCAAGTTACAGGGGCTATAACCGAGGTCGCCGTTACGATATATCTCCTCAACCGGTCGTGGCATCGCTGGGGTCTCGAGTGGCGCATCATTACACCCCTGGTGTTCTCATTGTGGATCACAACCCAGCTCTACGGAGCCTCTCGACTATATCAGATGGGACGTGGTGAGCGGCAAAAGCTGAAAGCCAAGGACGAGTTGGCCTTGACGCAGGAGGAAAGCGTATGATTGGACTCAAGACAACTTTCTTTTCACATAGATTTGGATTTCACAGTCACATAGCATTGCTAGCCGAATACATATACCCAGTATTTTGATACACTCTATGCTGCACAAAGCTTCATGGGGCATTGTCTCCTTCTAAGTTCTCTCGGCTGATTTAAGCTCTCAGCCACCTCCTTCAAGTACCAGGCGATGACTTCTTCAGCGCTCTGCCCACCATATCAACGATCTCTTCTGTAGCTTTACTGTCCACAAACTCGAGTACATCGGCAATCTTTTCCCCGCTCTCATTCATGGTCATCAGAAACATGTACTCTCCCCGCTTCGTCCATTCTTCTTCATCATCGCTGTCCCTCAATTGTCTATGAAAATTGGTCTCCGAGGCTGCCCATATGAGGACCTGTCGTAGGGACGGATTGGGCCACATCTGCTTGATGATGACAGTGAACGAAGACATGACCTCTCCGACCTGATTCAGTCGAGCGATCAAGCCATAGCGATCCATAGACCCAGGAAGGTTGGCCGACGCTGGCGCAAATCTGTGGCTATACTCGTCGCTGAGGATGCGTGACAGGGCTTCCGTGTCTAGTGTTCTAAAAACATCGATGTACGCTGTTGCGGTCGCAATCAGAGTCGATATATCCAGCACGGGCATAGGCTCGTCTGTAGGAGACATGGCGGTAGAAGTGATGAGGGTTAGAAGAGTAAAGAGTCCGCGTGCGGCGAGGAGGGCATTTGAGGGACGTATATGTAGTCAATTCCGATGGTCTTGCAATGTACTTATCCCAAGCCAATTGTATGGAAATCCTTAACGAATGACCATATACAAATACTCTACAGGGCGCCGCCGGACTTAGGACTTGTGAATAGCCGGTGATCCTGGCAAAATCCCTGTCTCGACCGAAAGACTCCCAGAGCGGACAAACAATGTTCGGACTGGCAACGAAGCGACGGCCAAAAGGAGGCAAAAGAGATTGAGGACATCTTATCTAAGTGATGGAAAGACTTATGTGAATTTAGTATATCTCACTAGGGTCTTAGAACGATTTATAGTGGCGTCCTGATTCAATGTCAAAGGCTTTCTTGTTTCGTGAGGAAGTCCACCTGCGGAGCGCCAAGATTAGAAGACCGAAGCTCGGCCGAATCGCCGCCACTGCGACTGCAAGCTGCAAGATGCCTACGCTACTAGATTAAGGTCAAAGTAATGGCTTTCTTGTCACAAAGACGCGCGCCAGAAACCGGAGGAGACTCTTTATCTTGTCCCTCTTTGTAGTACTTCAGAGACTCTGTGAATCCAATCCTCGTCAAGTAGTACTTCTCGTCCAAAGTACAGATCAAGCAAGCTCCAGGACGTGGCCCTTCTCCTTCAGATTCCGCCTCCGAAAGCATGACGACCTGAACGTCTATAGACTCTGTGATAGGCTCTTTAGTTGCCTGGCTTTCGTCTAGCCAGACTAGATCAGACTTTTCTGCGCCATCGAGCAGCAGAAACGCGCATCTCTCCTTCAGAGGATCGACAGTGTAACCACCGAAAGCGCCAGTCTGTTGATAGTTGCTAAAATCATGCCCGCAGTTTGGGAATAGTTTCCCGTGTCCGACCCTGGCTTTGATCTGAAGATACCCGTTATCGTATCGACCAAACGGAGTCCCATCGGGGCTTTGACCCTCCATAGCCACAGGCTCTGCGACGATCTTGTCACCTAGAGTTCCTGCTATGCTGAAATGGCCATAATCAATCGCTGAATCCTGACTAGCCCATGACCAAGATGGCGCGCGATACTTGGCCGCTTTATTGCCTGGCCCACCGCGCTTCCAGCAGAGACTTTTGACGAGCTCGTCATCGTCTTCGCACCAATGGCCGGCCATGTAGCCAAACGGGTGAATTCTGTCGAGGGCTTTGGCCATTCCACTAATGGCAAGGAGTTTGTCATCAATGAATGTCAAAGATCGATGCGAGTAGTCTCCCCCAACAAGGTGAACATACCAGTAGCGCAGCATCTGTTTGAGTTCTTTCTTCTTCGCTTCCTCGTTCTCCGCAGATTTAATCCGATGCGCTATCTTTGCGATGTTCACATTACGACCTATTGAGTAAAGCTCGTCCTCGCTTTCGTGGATTCCGTGTAAACACTCCCAATAGAGTTGGTCGTCGGCGTAGTGAATGATGCGTGGTGACAATATTCGCTCTTGCATGGTCCATCCTCTATCACGGAGCGCGCAGTGGCTTAGAAGATCACCCATATCTCGCAGATTGGTAGCCGAGCGATCGATTCTTGTCTCTTGATCTGGGAACAGAAAGATCGAGCTGTCTTCGTTGGTTGAGAGTTTGCTGCATATCTTCATGCTGTCCTTGTCATTGAGAATGGAAGAAGACCTCTCGTTGTGTAACCCTGCCTTGGCGTCTTGGCTCGAGTCAGCAGAGATAGTGACAAGGGCATTCTGGTAAATGGAAGCCATCTTGACGGCTTCCTTTGCCCAATCTTCCTTGTCATCTTGAACAATGCATAGACTGTCGATCCAAACCCATTTCAGGCCAAGATTTCTGACAACTTGAACAGTATCGGACAGCGTCTTGGGAAGCTCAGAAATATTGAACTCTGTCAGGCGCATGCCGAGGTTTTTGGTGGTAGTTTGTCATATAGCATCCAGGCCTCCCCATCTGTAACTCAAGGCGGCATACGACGAATATCCAACCGAGCCCGGGGCTATTTTGAGCTTGGTTCCACTGTCTGTATCGATGATCTCAGCAAGTCTCGCAGCGCGTTCTTCTTCAACAAGTGCGTCGCCTCGCGAGAGGCTCCTTTGCTGGTGTAAGAACTGGATGTCCTCGCATAATTGCAGCCGTTGTGCCTCTTTTTTCTGCAGCAACACGTCGAGTCCTTCTGACAGAAAAAGTGATTCAAATTCTTTGCTACTTCCATGTATCTTCGTGAGACATCCTTGAAGATCATTGTCGATAATGTGTGTACAATCTTCAAAGCAATCTTTGCTCAAAAGGCATTCCTTGAGCCACTCCAAAGCATGAACAGTTGAAGTCAAGCTAGAGGTGCTTTCTGGTAGTAGTCGAGCAGTCTCGGCGCCTGATCGCTGAGCAGGATCCCCAGAAAGTGTTCTCATCGTAAGCCAGGGAATGCTTCGTTCGTGCTCGCTGGGAGTTTCACAGTCGACGTCCGAAACCACTATGGTCAAGCCGCGTTTCGTGTGGTCATGTTGCCCATAAAAAGCTCGAGCCTGCTGGGTAGCGAGAAGCTTCTGATTGGATTCGGAAAGAGAGGATTTTGAGCTTTCCGAGCTCAGATGTCTCATTGCATGACGACAAGGTATGCTTCTCAAGTTGAGCGGTAAAAGAGGCTTCAAGCTGCCCAGTGCATGACGACACAGTTGGCATGTCCTCACAGACTTGTAGAGATCGAGCAAGTTCTTATGTAGTGCAAAACCCTGCTTGGAGACAAGTTCTTCGATGTTTATCCTGGCGCAGGTATCGCATAGAGACTGTTCCATGATGGATGAACTGAGGTAGATTTGCTGAAGCTGCGTTTGATCCGGTGATCTGAGTCGTGTATGAATCTTGAGAGAAGAACAGGTCAAAATATAGTTGAGCGATAATTGACTGTCTGATCCTTATGGGACGAGTTGTTCGCCGTAGGACTTAGTGTGAACCTGTCATCTTCAACATCAGCTCTACCCTTATGCAATTGGCCGGACAAGTTCTGTTAGGAGTGCCTAAGGCAGCAGCCCCGTATATCGGCCGGACCTTTTGTCTAGGTAGCCACAGCCAGTACATACCTTCCTCTCCCCTCTCTGGAGACCTAAACTCGAAAAGGAAGGATCGTCATCATAAGTGGTGCAAGGCTGACAACAGCACTAAGCTAGCCCCAGGAACAAGGGATAACGTATACGCGGTGGCCAAGCATATACTCTATTTAGCTTAGAGACAGTATATAGGGCCAGCTATAAGGTTTGGAACGGACCAAAAAGATTTGTATTGCCCCTTGTTGTTTCGAGTCCTATGTATTTCCCGAGCCTTTCACCGGGATAATCTTTCACCAGGCGGGTGAAGATTTTGTTGCCTTTTACCAGAGTGCCGTGATGTATCATTCACTGATCCATCCCAAGTAGGACTCTGTTGTGTATAGTCACAAGAAATCTCAGGTCCCAGCTGCTCGCATTATTCTGGGCCATAAGTCAGCCGTATTCGCTAGCGAGACGGAAAGAAATGCCAGCATCATCGGCCCATCAAGAGCAAATAATACCTTTTGTTCTGAGATCTAGACGATCAATTGGACTCAATCCATGTGAGATCTGTCGTTGGATGTCAACAGTCAATCGGTTTGGATCTGTTACATGCCATTGTAGGACTATCATAAGCTTGAGGTTTCATGTTTGTATAAGTCTTGAGCATCACCATACTGTTCCAAAGGAGTCAATTTGATTGACACATATCCATAGCTCCATGGGGCATGGTGTCTCCTGGTAGAGTTTGCCATTTCTGCCGCATAGGAATTACCGGATGGTTCGGAACATTGTGAATCAAGTCATGAGAGTGAAGCGTGATGAAAGGAAGAGGGTCTAATTACATTTGGAAGCCAGGATTGGCTCTCCGACCACATCCATGTCTGTAGACGTTTGTCGTCGCGCCAATTAATAGAAGTGATAGCAAATGTAAGTTGTACATCTTGCAACAACTTCATGTAACTTTGTAGAGCTTCTGATCTCTAGGGTTAAGATGGGACTTTTCAGTCTTTTGAGCATGCAAATTGACTGAAGCTCATCATTCCTGCTCCTAATTGCGACGAAAAGAACGGTGTCTCGGCAATGATTTGACTTACGTGATGATAAGTTGGAGTTTTGCGATGGGTAACGGGCATCGTCTGACGTTTTACTACACTTTGGTCTGTTTTATATGGCAGGGATGCTGCCAATCTTATCAGATATCTTCGCTAGGTAAGGAAAGGAAATGCTTAAATGCAGATGTAGCTAAGCGATCGCTAGGCTCCTCGCGACGCGCAGCAGTTGCCCCTCAATTCTGTCTCATATGGGTACCTTTGTTGTTCTTTACCTTTGTGGCCTTAAGGCTGAAGCCTCTTTTGACCCCTCAGCCTTATCACAGTCTCATATACCAGAACCTATTCACGTTATCAATGATCAAGATGTTGCCACCAGCTTTGGTCAGCGTGTATCGCGAGTACAAGAAGGATACCAATTCAATCGCATCTTGGCTTGCCTCAGCCGCTAAAGAATGCGAATATCCCGCTGACCTACTGTCTAATTCACCTGATCCAAAGCAACCAGCCCCTCGACTGAGGGGCAAAACCAGAGCAGAAGCTAAGAAGAAGGCGAAAGTTACCCCTCAGGAAAGCACACCACAGAATGAAGGACCTCGATACATCATTGAGATCAAGGACTTTGTTCCCCTGGCCGAATGCATCTCGGCTTACAAAAAGCCGGCTCTGTCTGTCCCGCGAACGTTCTTCTCTACACTCAACCGGGTCATTGAAGCGAGAACTGGTTTTAGCAGTGAATTGGACGCCTCCAACCAGAAGCAAGGTGACAAGTCGGATGCTAGACATTCCTACTTTGTGGGAATTCTTGAGAATGTCCGCGAAGTCCTCGAGCCATATTCAGATCCAGCTGTTTCTGGTTCCTCAAAAGAGGCTGAGACCTTGACAAACAAGTTCAAGGAATTGAAAGTCTACCACCCATCAGAGAAGTTTCTTAACGCAAAAGACATTGAAAGACCTGGACCAGCAAATAATGACGACGTTATCTACGAGGCCGATGCAGGGGACTCAGCCGACGAGGCCTTTTTTTGTATACAAGCTGCTGTGCGAGGACTTAAACGATATTAGAGAATTTATCACCTATATTTGGGAAATGCATGTTGAAGCGTAGGACGGTGGAGATAGCCTTGACCCAAGCGTGGTGGCGGTTGTTACCAATACAGCCATCGAGTTTGGTTTGGCCCTTGCAGAGGACGCAAAGCCCTTGTTCGAAAAGCATGGTGGGATTGGGGCCATGGTTGAACAACTCTTGAGTGGCTTCCTAATCGATCAGGAGGTAGACATGAGCAAATTTCGGGAGCAGGTCGCAAAAGGATCCGTCGATGAGAAGGTATATACGGTCATGTCGCACTGCTGCTTCAAACACGCCTTTCGATCGAGACCCTCGCCCAAGTTCCGTGGAGGGGGTCCGCCGGAATATATCCAGACGGGACCTTTGGTGTTCTTAATCCTCACACAGATTGGGAAGATAAAAGTATGAGCCAAAAGTTGACGGAGGAGCAGGTGATTATTGCCGAGCTCTGGACGGAAGCCATGGCACTTGTCTATCAGGTGCCAGACTACCCGTTCTCTGACGAATTCATTCGAGGCGTCAAGGAGTTCAAGGAGACAAAATAAGTCCCGCTCAGCGTCATATTCGCAGGTCAAGTAATTCTCGATGTATGCAAAGTCATCGGCAGTTACGCAGAGTCTTCAGTCGACACTCTTCAAAGGACATAAAAAGCCCCCACTGGTCATCTCGCGATAGAAAATGGGTGAAGGACACGCAAGAGGACTTCGACTGGCTTCTAGACGACCCCTTGCTCAGAATAAAGAAAATGGCGGTTGATAAGAGCCCGGACCGCCAAGAGGGGTTGAAATACCTCGCACGGGTTGAGAAATACCGGATCCTAAAGAGGTCTCCCATTCTCGCTGGTCTGGCTTTGTACTATCATCGTGCGGAAATGCACGAAGTCGGCCTGAGAGTTACTAATCAGTGGGGCTCTATAATCCTGCCTGCACACCTGGAGAATGCTATCAGGGAGGAAGGTCTCACCAAAACTTGGTGGCTAGATATGGACACCCTATTCGAGATTTTCGGCGACGAAGCTTTCTTCGTTGGAGGGAAGCCGCATATGCGTTCTGACTATGTCAATCGTTTGATGCTGCAGGTTGGCATCTCTGCATCTACCTTGAGCAAGAATAAGGGCAAGGGCAAGAAGATGGCTCTCGAGGATTTCTCACGAGCAGGTCCACGATTTCTGACAACCCGTGCACTAATCCACAAAGGCCTTCAAGACCGATACCATCGAAATGCCAAACGAATGAACTGGACTATGGAGACCATTAGCGAAGTCCTCTCAAGGGGGGAGTCGAAAGGCAAAGGCAGGGGTCGAGATGGAGGTAAAGGCAAAGAAAAGGATACCTCATTGACAGCAGACGACAAAACACGCATTAAGCCAGCTGACATATTAGCGTCACTCGACAATGCTCTGAGCGCTGAGGTAAATGAGCTTGCATTCCCATACCTAAGCTTACCTTGAGAAGCTGCACCGTGGGCAAGTCCTCAGCAAAGCAACCCGACTGATGTATGTGCTTTCTGGTCGTGACTACACCATCCCAAAGGGTGCCACCGTGTTAATTCAATCATTTGGAGAGTATTTGTAATTGCGGCTCGAGCCATGAGGGGTTCCAGGAGGAGGCAGCGAATGCAGAGAGTCAAATACCTTGATTCTGTAGATAGTTTTCGCTGTAGAATCATTATCTCAATAGTTAAAAGAACATGAAAAATGTAGTGCGCTCCATAGGCTTTTTGCAAGCCACCAGCCCTGACTCGCACGCTAATTATGAACCAAATAGACCTGGATATGCGAGAGTACTGCAAAGCTAGCTGTAGCAGCCATGTACCTAGGCAGTGTGTGGCGAAGGCCTTTTGTACGTCCTCAAAGTCTTCTTCAAGAACTGTAGCCTTTGAAAGAGGACCCGAGAACCCGCAGTTGACGAACACGGCATCCAATCTCCCGTTGAACTGGCTCTTGACAGTTGAAGCAATATTGGCTACGCTCTCATTGGAGGTGATGTCGCACACCACAGAGGTAACCTTGATCAATGCATTAATATCGCCGATCTCCGTGGCTGTTGCCTCCAAAGTCTTTTGCGATCGAGCAGCAATGATCATGCCCGCAACACCGGCTTGAGCAAAAGACCTTGCCAGTCCGGAACCTGCAGCTCCTCCAGCGCCGATTATGCACACGACAAAGCCCTCTGGCAGTTTTGCCTTCCTCGGGTTAATGGCATCATATGGCTTGTCGTGTTTTGTCTCGACAAAATCTCTAACTTGCTGGGCATTTGTCAGACTTGGAGTAGACATAGCTTTGTAGTTGGTACTGGAAAAGGATTCGCCGTTTGAAGAAGCGCCAGTGGATTTTACTCGGGTTGTAAGGAATGATAAACAAAGACTGGTTTCGTGATTGCATCTCTTCAAGTCTTTTTGTGGTGAAGTGGACGCTGTTATACCCCCATGATCCCGGATTTTGCTATTAATCCCGGAGTTGATTAATTTGGCTCGTTAGCGCTGTTGCTGTATGTCAGATGAGACGTGGGCGATCAACATGCGGCTTGAGGCTGGGGGCACGGATTTATCTTATCTCCGACTAGAGAACTTAGATCAGCTATAGGTAGTTTCTATAGATGGCCAATCTATGGGGAAAGAAAACTCAGGGCCTCGATCATAAATGACAAAGTTTAGCCTAAATTTAGGATGCCTTTTGCTTAGTTATGTTATTGCATATCAACGCCAATGTTTTTCTTGCTCATGAGGTCAATGCCAGTCTCTAAATGATGCCATATATCTGGCGGCAGAGTATTTTATAGTCACTTAAAGAGTAGTAAGAATGTAGATAGAAGATCTTATAGATAGCCATAGTAAGATATTTAGGAATTAATTTGACAGACGATTGACAATAATATTTTGCTGGTAATCCTGTTATGTCCCAAAGGTAACGTTTTATAGCATTGGGGATTGTCAAACTACTTGAGCTGTCGCGTCTTATTCCTGAATACAAGAACATCCCGTTCTTCTATGTCTCCCAATGGACAGGAGCGTTGTCTTCGCTGTAGTACAATGTCAGAAGAAGCTAAGCATATGCAGTCTTCGCTCCTTGGTCTCCATCTTCGAAACAGTATCCATCTCTGCCCGCTTAAGTGCAAGGAACCAATCGATATACCCTTGACCGAGAACACCATCTGCCCAAACTCTGTCATCTTCCAGCTCCTTTAGTGCAACCTCGAGAGACGTCGGTAGAAGCTTGGCCAGTCCCATTTTCTCCCTATCTTCTTCGGAATACATCAATGTGAATTCTAAGCGACTTAGCAAACATCAGCTATCTCGGCTTCGGTAGGCATACCTGTCGCGTTTCTAATTGTAAGCGGCTTGAAGTCGAGTGCGGCACCAATGATTCCTGCGACCATGGCATAGGAATTCGAGGTGGCGTCATTGACACGGATCTCCCAGTGATTCTTGGTGACTTTTCTAACGGGCATGTCTCGATTATTATCACCCCAGCCTACAAGACCACCGGTACACATTCTCCCGATATTGACTCTCTCATAAGAGTCAATCTGGCACATGCCCAATGCCATGAGCGCAGGTATATGGCTCAATATGCCTGCCAGAGTGTCATCAGGGTTCCAGTCTTGATTCTCCTCCGTCGGGGCTGCCGAGATGTGAATGTGCTGTCCGCTCTTCTGACCCTGTTCTCCGTCGTACGGTGTCGGATAAAAAGTGGCAAGAATTCCATACTTGTGTGCCACGTTCTGGATTAGCTCTTTGGCATAATAATAGGTGTCCACGGCTTCGATAGGAGGAAGAGGAGGGAGGGCAACTTCATAGGCCGATGTACCGTACTCTTTTATCACTTGCTCAACTTCAATCCCTGCTTCACCAAAGGCAACAATAATTTCATTCAGTATAGGCCAGACTTTGGACCGGAGAGTGCCGAAAGTACCAGCCACTCCCGGCTTTGCAGGCTCAGCGGCTTCAAGGGTCCCTGGAACGAGAAAGCAGAACTCCAACTCAATGCCAACAAGGAACTTCAAACCGCAAGACTCTTCAGCTTTTTGAACAATGTTTCTCAAGAGGAGCCGGGCATCAGTATTCTGAAATTCCACAGTGCCAACGCAATGAGCCGCGTTGCCGATTCCGGATGCATCATGCTTCATAGTTCGGATCGAGGAGACATCAGGGTGTATCTTGCCCTTCCCGTTGAAAAGAGCGAATAATTGAGGGATAAACTCAGCGGTTGTAGGTACCAGTGTATCCAACGGGGCGCAATCAAGGTGACTACCAGATCTCACAAGGTTCTTGAATCGTGAAGCAGGGAGTAATCTTGTTCTCGAAATTCCACAAATATCAACCCATTGCAATATAATGATTTGCACTGAGGGATTCTGCTTGAATAATTCCTGAAGTGATCGTGTAGCAAGGTCTGCGTGAGTCTCTTCGTGAATACTAGTTGACATGATAAGAAAAAGGCCAGAGTGAGATCGATGAAGAATTCAGAAAAAAGAACCTTGGACTATTTTCTGAGTTTTGAGCTGGCTGAAGACTTTAAATACCAATCCAATTCTCAAACCAGTGATCGAAAGAGATGGCGATGGAGTAAGCCACCATTCTGAAGCTGACCTGTGACCTTCCTATCTTGGACAGTAGGCTGAATCAGCCGGTAACACTTCGTGCCTTATCGAGTAAGCCCTAGACCTCCTTCATGCGGTCAGACGGCATGTTAATCGCATTGACACATCCTGGAGCTCCGGGATCCTAGGTAGTGCTTTTTCGCTGTTGCAGTAGTCCTCAAGGAGTGAAAGGTCCCCGGCTAGGGGAGGAAAGAAAACTTAGGACCTTTATCCTAAATCATGGAAGACCCAAGTAATTTGGTATAAATTAAGGATACCCTTTTTTAAGTTCATTTTAATACTTTGAATTAGGTTCTGATATTTTCTTACTCTCTCGAGCCCTGATCTTGAAACAGGATGAGCAAACAACCTTATCTAAACCCCCCTTGAAGATGACAATCACATCAAACAGAGGCTTTTGGTCTCTTAGCTACGAGAGTTCATATCTAGTACTTCCACTGTGCATCATGGAATGCGTCAGATCGTGGTGTACTCGGGATTCCGTTAGCTAACCAACTTCTCAAATGGGTAACAACGGGGTTACGAGTGATGCAGGCATTGCCGCTATGGAAGTATACAAGCAGCAAGATACATGGAGTCGAATATCGTGTTCACTCTTCGCCCTGTCGCCCATAACATAACCTGAGACTGATGTACAATTAAACAAGAAAATGAGGGTCATCTGCAAATCGTTATCGCATGGGGAATGTTGGTCAAGATGGCGTCCACAAGTCTTCTTCCAGGCACCCAGTTGCTATTACGACATATTGCACTACGGATTGTATCCAATTCGTTTATATTCAAAATCGTCATTCCTCTTTGTTCAGTCGAAATTCTCACTCGACTGGACCATCGTCTGTTGGCTCTTGTCGACCTTGGTCTCTCTGTGACAGATCGGAAGCACCAGCCAGCTCGGAACCAATAACATATCTTGTCTTGCGGAAGACACTCTGCACCAAAGTCTCATGATCCTCCTTCCACTTCTTGTAGTTAGCCCAACCGACCTGCAACTGCAGGGAGTAGTCGGCGCTCTTGACCTTGCTCTTGTAGCTAGGATCATACTCATCCGGATTCTTGGGGTTGACGCCCTCGTCGAATGGTACACCTCCCATGACGTTTCGGAAGTAGAGCATCACATCGCTGAAGGTGTTGCCTGGCTTTGGCTGGGGAGAAGGCGTCATAGTCAGTGGCGGTACCATGCCGTAGACTTGCTTCACGCCGTCCTTGACCTTGCCATTGTACATGGGATGGGAGGTTGAGGTTGAGTGACAAGAGGCACATGCCGAGATGAAGTTGTCGGCTGGGCCGTTCATACGGCCATTCCATCCCCATGAGGGTCGTGTGCCACCCTCTCGCTTTCGAATCTTCTCTGCTTCCTTGTTGATATAGCACTCTCGCGGCTTAGCTACGTGTCCCTCAGCCTTGGTCTCCTCGTAGACCTTGTTCGATAAACCAATGATCATTACCCCACTGGAGACCAACAAGAGTGAGTCTGTCCCAGGGCTGAGAATTGATAACGAGGTTAGCATAAGCAAATTGTCCTTGGCTATTGGGGGTGTACTCACGCCTTTTCCAGGATGGTCTTTGTTATACATGAAGGTGCCAAAGACCCATCCAATTGGTGAGCGCTTATCGACGACAGCAAAGTCGACCTGGATTAGACGAAGTGGCGATGCGAAGTCATTTCGATCTCTGCCGTTGTTGGTTGACTTGGAAATGACCTGTGAGTCTTGTTAGAGATTACAGTCCTAGTGTCATGGTCAACACAACTCACTGCATCCATCGTTGGGGCCCCATCTTGAATGGGCATCTGCTCAGGTGTCGAGTTGTTCAATAAAATCTTTCCAATGTCAGTCATGATGTTCCGCCACTTCAGAGTGTTGTCCTACCTTGAAAACACATGTTCCTACGGGAAACTCTTTGTTCTGAGAGAAGTCAGGGTTATCGGGGTCCTTCCACATATCGCCAAAAACAGTGGCACCTGGGAAAATGTTAGATCAAGACTGGTTACAGTATGATTAGATGTACCAGTAGCATTGTAAAATCCAACTGCCCAATTTTGTAGGGCCACATTTTGTGTCTTAGCAAACTCCCCGGGAGGTGTCGCTCTCTCGAATGTGAAGCCATTGATGGGTTCACGCTCGGTACACGACGATTTTGGGTCTGGGTCCCGATAATGCATCCAAGGTGCGTGGTACCAGTCTCGGACTGTGTTCTCATTGAGTCGAAACCCTTTCTCGACATTGCCATCAAAACAATACTCTCTGATGGCCTCAGCAAACTTCTCAGGTTCCTTCTCGTAGTCGTATTTGAACCACGGCGCATCCTTGCCCTCAAAGTCACCAGGTAATCCGGGGGCAGGGATCAATGGGGAGGGTGCATGGGGTAGTGAATCATCCTTCTGTGCCTTGAGGCTCGCCTTGAGAATGTCCGAGGTTGGATAGTCATTGCGGATTTGCCACGGGCTATAGCCAACAGGAGTTGGATGAATGGAGGAGGTATGGAACTGTACTTGTGCCTCAGTAGCCTGCAGCTTCTCACTTTCTGTCTGAATCAGTGATCCAGCGAGGCCTGTTCCTCCAAGCGCTGCGCCGCCAGCCAATATCTGGCGCCCAGTGATGCCCGCCAAAAGTCGGAAGGCCATATTTCTGGTTGGAAAAAGAAGAAAATAGAGAAACAGATAATCAGCGAAAGAAGACGGTCGCTTGTGCAGAAAGATGGCTCTTAAGTGCCCAACCCCTACAGTGATGGCTTTGATAGAGACCTGCCTAGACCCCAGCCGCTGTGACAAGCTAAGACCAGGCTGGCGATGGCGGAGCTGAACATCCCCGCCAGCTGTTGCTATCACTCCCAATAGCAGTATTAATTAGCGATATCTCAGTGGCTCGGCCCGTCCCCATGAATTCAAAGCCGTTCTGGACCCAGGAACTATCCCTTGTGGCGGAAACGTGGCTCGCTGACCTTCGATAAATCACCGCCGTTTGTGTCTAGGGAGGTTCCAGGGGTCTTATAGCGCTGAATCCGATTGGTGGTACAAGTGCAGCTGAACTGATATCACATTTTTAGTGTGTCCAAGATGACTTTAGGCGAAATGTCATTGGCCAGAAGCCGACAGTAGACGAACTACTTCCAATAGCCATGTCAATAGTTCAGTCGCCTTGTTACACCAGAGTTTCTTTCCATATCAATGCACACGTATGCTTAATCTCATTAATGTATGGGTGTTAACATTTTTGGTACTTATGAACTGGGTTGTATGCCTCAGCATGCATATGGAACACGATTTCTCTGAAATCTTCCACTGTCAGCAGGTTTCACCACCCGCCGTGCAATGTATGTCAATAAGGAAGCGAGAGGTAAGATGCACAGTCAATACCTCCGGACGAAAACGCATCGTAGTAGCAGATGCATGTAGGAGGGTTTTCAGTGAGAGAACAAAGGAGAGGTTGGCCAATGCGGTTGTTTACAACCCATTGTTCTTTGTTCAGGCGCGTATCACTTCGTCAGTGTCAGAGGTGAATCAGACAAAGGACTTTTGTTCCAGTCCATAGGTCAATGATGGAGCCGTCACGGACGAAATTTCTGCCATAAAGTCAAGGTGAATATTCTGAACCAACAAGCTCAGCCTCTTCACGCATTGTTCCCAGGTATAAAATCCCTCGGCTTCGCCCCCTTCTTGGCAGCGTCATCAATCCCATCGGTAATGTTATCATCCCAAGTGCTCTCTCAATTCACCAGTTTATTGGCAAGTATCCAGCCTCCGGTCACATTAAGAGCTACCAACGCATTTCCGGGCAACAATAACATCAGCTTAACCCCAGGTGCCTCATCTCACTCGCCACCATGAACCCATCTCCTCAATTTCCCGTTCTTCCCTCAGTTCCTGAGTCGCCCTCTGCAGCTAAGCCGGAGGACTATCGTAACCCTCTTGGCCAAGATCCTCATATCCATGAGTGTGGAAAAGGTATTCGCTGCAGGTGCCAGGGTTGTGATGGCTGTACTGGAAAGATATATTGCATATCCAGCCTCCAGTGTTACGATTGCTATTGCAACTGCCCCGTTTAGATATTTTCGGGGGCTTGAGATGAGGTTGCTTATTTTATCTCTTTTGCATTCTTGCTAACGCAAGTTCGCCACAACGCGCGTAGGCAATATTCGCCGATATAAGTTCTCATGCTTTCATTTTGAAGTAAAGCTTTGCGGTTTGGTGTGTTATGCAATGCAGAGTTCAAGGTGAAGCGGATCAGAGGCCTGGCAGATAGCTGAACAGGTCAGGGAGAATCAAAGAAGCACTTACAAAACATATCCATTAGCTCCTTTGACTGGTTTGCGATTATGTGATGTCAAGGCCGTAGACCGTACACCAAGTTTCCATCTTTCATTTAAACCTTTTTTCCAAACACTTGGTCATGCAGGAGAAGGAAAAGTAAGTTGGTGTCAGCATCAGGAACCTTATAGAGAATGATGTCCACTCCACGTCCTAGACTACATAAGATATGGATAAGCTTTGACCAATATCGCGATATAATAAAATATTGATGGAGAATGTGTGTCCTATATATGAGAAACTTCTCCAACAGATTCAAAGGATGTTGCTGAGTTTGTTCCCGCAAATATGCAGCCGGGTAACTATAGGAGCCGAAGAGCCTCTGTACTAACTCGAGTAAGCGTACTGGTAGGTGAATATTAAAAGATGTACGAAACAAAAAGACTCTTGGGGGCTCAAAATTGGTATTACAGCTGCGAAGCACATATTGGTGCTGAAACAAGATGTATTTATTCTATATCCTGCGATGTAGACCTTAAGCCGCAATCATAGCATATTGGGACTTCTTAGTGCACAGCACCTTTTATTGCATCACGTAAATCATTAAAAAGAAATTGATCGAAGGAACTTGTTAAGATGCTCTTTTTGAAATTTATCATTTTCTATACTGGTCAGCTAGCGATCTACAGTCTGTTGTACTCCACCTGAACCTCTCCATCGCAAAGCATACAAAATAGATACACCAACCTAAAACACGTTGGCATCTAAAAAGAACAAGTAAATAAAGTATCTCAAGTCCACTTTGAATTCTCGCGTAGCTTAAGTGTCGCTGAAAGAGAGAATCAAAAGCCGTAGGCGAAAACCCTATGCATGTCAGAAAGGGCCACTTAGGCAGGGCAGTTTATGTTGCAGTTAGAGCACTGCATGGTGCTCCAATTAGAAATCTCGTTCTTGCAGCCGCTGCAACCGGTACACTCGCATCGAGTGCTGTGGGGGCATTGAATGGGCTGGGGACCAAACTCAGCTGGGATGAGGGAAGGGAAGCAGCTGTGAGTAGTCTCGGTGGGTGAAGAGGGAGCTGAAGACTCAGCGGTGAAAACAACGGAGGGATACATGTTAAAGGAGGTTTGGTGATGATTGTTGTGTGTGTGGGAGAAGATGATGGTAGCTGTGATGCTGTTGATGTTTTGTTGTGAATTGGTAGTGGAGGTTGTAGTGATGCAAGTGATGATTTTCTCCATATTGCTGGGCAGATGCATGGCATTTATAGACTCTGGACAACTCTCAAACACTTCTGTTCAAACATAGAACACTTTTCTGTTCAAGGTTCTTCGAATCACTTGTTCACGGCAATGCTTAGCCAATACTTTACCGACACAGTGACTGATTAGCCAAACTCATTGTCTTCTACGCACGATAAGATGCGTTCTGTCTTATGTCCATGCTCTCAACTGATGTCAATACTTGACCGTGCTTTGTTTCCAAGTATCGATTTCATCCCTTTGTTCACGCTGTGAACAGCAAGGCCTGTGCATTGAATAATGGCTCTTTGAGCTGCTTAATCAGACGCACAATTGCAAACCAGGGTGACTGACGCAATGAATTCTGGCAAAAGCTTTGCCGATAATCGAATCATCTTTATCACGGATATTTAGTTCAATACCACACGTGATATCTGAGATTCTCTTCGCGCTTCGCACACGACGTCGTTCGCTTGACGCATGCAATCTCCTTTTTTGACTCTTGGTGCTCCGACACTCTTGAAATCTTATTCCGGGCTTTAAGGAAGAAAAGAATTAAACTATTTATGAGGCTATCATGTTTGAAGTGACATATTTGAACCGTTGAAGTATACAATGATTCCGTCGATATTGCACAGGGCACCACGTACATACACAGATGCCGGTAACTTGTGCCCAGCATCACAACTTTGCTAGCGAAATGTACCTAAACCACTCAAACCGAATTCCTCACAATATCGTGACATGCTATTTTATTGTCCGCTGTGAATGTCTTTTCTCTTTTATGTATAAAAGCGAGGCACCATTTCGACAACACAAAGATATCCCATACTTCCATTACCACAATCTCTCCTGCGACTCTACCCAAGACACCGAACTTCTCAAGTCTATCAACATTCCCATAGTACCAATAGCCATTTTTCGATCAAACTCAACATGCATACTTCAACGGCCTCCACAATCACCTCTTCGATCCCAGCGTCTCCCTCTGATGGCGCTGCTGCCGAAATGCCCTATCCAGTCCCCGCCAACGACGGTGGTCAGCCCAACCAGTGCCCTCACAGCGAGATATGTCAATGTGCAGAATGCCCCGGCTGCAAGAACTTGATTTATGTCTGGAAGACGGAGCAGTGTGCTGCATGCTACATGGACCACCCTGCCATCGTTCAATAGGCGATGGGCTGTAACTCATATGTATTCGACAATAGAAACATCTATTGTCCTGGATACTGCTACGAACGCATGTCATTTACAATGATCAGAAGATAGTAACTAAACGACTACCATTCAGAATTCTTCCTTGAATTGGCCAAGTGAATTGCAATGGACCTCTGTGGATACGAGCCTGGGCCACTGGTTCTTTCGGTCCGTAAGGTTCTGCAAAATTGTGCAGCTTTGATCAGCAGTCTCTTGTCTCTCGTCGAGGTTGCTGGTGTAATATCAACTTGCCTCCTGTTTATGTATAGAAGTCCATAAGCTCCAGACAGGCTGACTCTCGATTGTATGCTGGTGATGGTCAGTGTTTTCTTTCCTTACAGTCGAGGGCCCTCGATCATGTCTGGGCAATCCACACAGCCCAGAAAAGAATGTGGCAGTGACATCACTTTGAGACAAAACAGCCTTATAATGCTGACATCTTAGATAGTGGAACTTATCTCTCGGAGAAAATCTCGTCTAGGCGGGCTAATTAATCTCGTGGCTGGCTCAGTGCTGCGCCATGGAGCAAGGCAGGGATGAGGCTCCTGTTCTTACAAGCGGTGTCGCGGGCTCACCAATATCGCAGATCGTCAGAAGGCGACAGACAACCTCGAAAAAATCCTAATCGTTCTTCATTCTCTCACTTTATATGTTGGAGAACGCTCACATTCCTCTCACTGAGTTCTTCCTATTGTTTTTCTTGACATTGATGTCTTGTAAACCAATCTTACATGCTCCACCCCGAGATGGGTCAGCATGGCTTCTGTCATCCTGACTCCACGACCCTGAGGCTGACGCTCGGAGAAACCATCTCAATCCAGGATGAAATCTGACAGGATTCATACACTTGAGCCACTGACTGAGGCTTGGTCTCAAACAAGCGGAACGATATTTTTATATCCCAGCCTCGGGAAATCTCCTTTATTATGGACATGCCTACTTCCGCAATTTCGATAGAAATACTTTTCCTTGATCAATTGTCATTGCCAGTCTGAAATAATACTTCAAGAATAATTTGGGAATATCAGATACCAACCGAAATGGCTTCCCGTCGCCCTGATCTTTCGCAATACCCCACCGGATTCACGGTTCTGCGCATCTTCCAAGCTGTACTGAATATCATCACCATTGTCGTCACGTCTTTCACGATAAATGCTGTTGTCATTCCTGGGAACTGTTTGTTGCTGGTAACCGTAAGTAATAAGATGTACGATCGTCAATCGAAACAAATTGCTAACATTGCTCACAGAGCTCTGCATCACTTCTGGTCTCAACATGGATGGCCTTTGCTCATATGTTCTCCAACCGCCTCTTCAATTACTTAGTCGCCACGGTTCTTGACACCATTCTCACTTTATTCTGGCTCATCTCATTTGCTGTTCTTGCAGCACAAACAGCGGTGTTATGGGCCCATGGCACCGATTACTGCGAAACCAACAAGTGCCCCGACAGCCTCAAGAACGTGACGAATTTTTACGGATATGTCTTTGCGACTTGCGTCGGTCTTGGTGGCTTGGCATTGTAAGTTCACAGGGAGGTCTGTGAATATGTCCATCATGCTAACTATTTAGTCTCTTCTCATGCATTTGCCTCATCTTCCACGGCATCGTCAGCTGTCGACAACACCGATATAATCAGATCGGCACGAATAACGTTTCTGAACCAATTTTTGTCGGCGATAGACACCCCCAGGGCACGACCGAGTATCGGCCTTTGGCATAATGTAGTTACTTGGGTCGAAAATAATTTAATGATACCAGTGATTGTTTCTGAAGTAACTTATGATACTCAATTTAATCGTAAACCTTATATGCCATGATTCTTATCGAGCGATGATAAGATAAGATACAGAGACCAATCGATAAGGACATCGCTTCTGGGTCAAGCGAGCTGTTAGCATCTGCTAAGGGGGACTTTAAATAGCTCCAAGATTTGCCTGCGCAAAGAGTATTCTGTATTATCACCTAGCATGCGATGCTCGTTTACATGTTTTGCAATCCCCAAACTGGTCACAATCACTTAAAATGACAGAAAGGATTCTACGAACTGCCCATGACTAAGATCAGCACCCTGATCATTAAATTTTGGGTTGGGCATAATGCAGTGGGAAAAGGTGACAATCTGCGACGGATATGTGATGATAATTCTAAAATTTTGAACACGAGTTTGTTCCATCGCCATTTGCCTCCTTCAGAACCAAAATCATTTGGCACCCACAGCTTTCTTTTATCTTGTCAAACCAACTGGACTCTCATGGAATACCTATCATTAGCCAAATCTTATCATCTGCCTCGACCCAAGTTGTTAACATGCCCTGAATTTCTACTGCCGTCTTCATCCTCTAATTACCCTACGCTTGTGGCTACCTCGAGTGGGGCCGACCACCGACCGCCGATCGCTCGACGAAGTGACAACATTAATTAAAAACGCTGTCATGACTGACTGGTCTCTCATGACTTCCATCAGATTCAATCATACGATATTAGAAATGAACAGGATCCCGTCACAGGCTATCGCTATAAATTTGCCGCGACAATATGCTCAATAGTCAACACACGTCTCAGTTCAATCGCCGAGTCGGGCGGGTTGGGATCCACCTTTCGGGGATCAAAAGCGGAAGCCAAACAAGTCCCCGGGACGGGACAATTATATCAGATCAAAGTTTCCAGATCATTCGCGTCGGGCACTAGATTATTAGCATTTCTCAGCAAGTCGCTCGCAATACTGCCATAGCCTTTGTATAATTATTCCCTGTATAACATCTGCGACAATGGCATCGCTTACATCCACTATTCGCAGAAGTGCAGTTGTTCTTGAACACGTACCAACAAAAGCTTTCACATCGCTACCTGTGTCACAATCTTCAAGAAGACACACTTATTACACGTCCACGGAGAACGCCATTCAAAGAAGAAGCCGATCTAGTTGCCAAAAGAGTCTAGCATCGAGACAACCCTGTCTTATACACTCACGACATCCAACCCAAAATCACATCATCGGCCGCGCCAGATTTGCGACCACTACGACCATAATGTCAGAGCCAACAGTCCATTCCCTATTCGAGCCTGTCACTGGCACCTGGCAGTACGTCGTCTCGGATCCGAACACCAAGAGCGCTGTGATCATCGACCCAGTTCTGGACTATGATCCCGTCAAAGCAGCAGTGTCGACGGGATCGGCTGATGCCATTCTCAAGACTGTAAAAGACAATGGTTTGAAAATTGAGATGATACTAGAGACGCATGCTCATGCCGATCATTTGACTGCTGCATCATACCTCCAGTCAGCCCTTGCCAGAAGTCAAGGTTCCAAGCCACTTATCGGCATTGGAAAGCTTATCCGCCAGGTCCAGAGCTTGTTCGGAGAACGATATGGTATCGATCCTAGAGAGTATGATACTGTTTTTGATAAGCTATGGGAAGATAGCGATGAGTTCACCATTGGCACTTTGACTGCCCGTGCTGTTCATCTCCCTGGTCATACGCCAGATCACATGGGATACCATATTGGCAGTAAGTCTACTGCAACCTGACACAAATGTAAATAAATCACTGACTTGCTACCTAGAAAATGTGTTTGTTGGCGATTCCATCTTTCACGTTGACATCGGCTCCGCCCGCGCAGACTTCCCCGGTGGCAGTGCTGAAGCCATCTTCAATTCCGGCCGCAAGCTCCTTGCACTACCAGAAGATACAAAGATCTGGGTTGGACATGATTATCCACCGGCTGATCGAGAAGCACCAGTTCCTTTTGCTACGGTGAAGGAACACAGAGAGAATAACAAGCATCTCAAGGATGGAACACGTGAGCACGAGTTCATTGAGATGCGAAAGAAACGTGACGAGTCTCTTGCTGCACCTCGATTGATCCATCCTTCTTTGCAGGTCAACATTAGAGGTGGAAGACTGCCGGCACCGAACCCGGCGGGACTCAAGACGATTCATTTACCGGTGACGGGCTCGTCGTGGTAGAGAAGCCTTAGTGACGCAATGCCCTGTCTAAGGGATGCATATTGTATAATAGCCTGGAGACGGTTTTCTTGCTTTGAAGTTGAAGTAGCGGTATTCAGAATGATAGTTTAGCCAGACGAAACAAATCGCAAATCTCTTTCAATATCTTCAATTTTCCCTCCACTTTATGGTTAAAGGGGCGGGACAAGACTTTACATGAAACAATTATCTAGGCCCCCGTTCGCTGAACAGCATGTCTGTGAAACTATCCCCAGAGCGTAGCTTTTCAGAGACTACCCGTCAGAACATCGGGTCTCACCGTTCTAACGATGTGAAGCTCTTGGGATGCATCGGATCGAGATTAATCTATGAGGTCTAAGACTCTTCTGATTCTATTCTACATGGAAAACCTCAAGGGACAGTAAGCAACCAGTAGCTCTCCTTTCGACCCCAATGTCTAAGCAAACCAGAGTCCAGCCACCAAACCAGCACCAAACATCGAAACGATAGTGATAAAGGAACTCAACCCCATCGTGGCCATACCACTGATACCATGACCACTTGTGCATCCACCAGCGATGCGAGCGCCGAAAGTCAGAAAAGCTCCGCCAGCCAGAACCATTGGCAGTGATGCCTGTTCACTTTGTGTCATGACATCCCGAATAGCCGGAAAGTTAGATAAAGCCGCCCAAGAACCCATCATCAATCCACATGCAAAAAGAATGTTCTGAGGGATGGATTTTATGCCCTTGCCACTGACAGTATCCCAGAAGAACTTTCCAAACTCCTCATAGGCACCGCTGACTCCAACGGGCTTCTCGGTCAAGATAACAGACGATAACTGCCCGAAGCCGATGAGGAGGCCACCGACAACCGGATGCAGCATGGTAACACTTCTCGGGGCGACGTATAAGATACCGGCAAGTATCGCAAGCATCGTTATCTCGTACCCGACGAGAACCTTGCCTGCAGACAAACCGGTAACATCCATGACTGATGTATTCTGGGCACGGCTCGTCGGCGGCTTGACCATGTACGGCTTACACCGCACCCAAACAACGCCCGCAAGGAGCGACGTGCATGCGAGCAGCCGACTGGCGCCAATACCCGCCGTGGCCTGCACGAGGACCGTCCCGGGACAAGCACCCGTTAAGCTTATCCCCAGACCTAGCATGGCACCACCAATTATGTTGCCGTCGTACGGGCCCAACCATCCGTGCGAACTTGCTGACCGGGCTGGTATCTTGGTGGTCTTGGAGTTGTAGAGGGTGAAGATTGCGGCGCTGGTCGCGGATGCGGTGAGGAACGTGGCGAGCATGTGGAAGTCGGAGAGGCGGAATTGATTCTTTATGACCTGCGGGTTTGCTACGCCTGAGAGAGTGAGGCCTGTGCCGAAGATGGCACCTGTTAATAAGCTTGTTGCCATGATTCTCGAAAAGATCTATGAAACGCTTTGATGTTGTTTATTGATGATAAAGTTCAAGACACACGGCAGAGGCTGAAAATCTTTGCTCTATTAACTCGCTGTATCGCTGTCTAAAATCACGCTTCATTTCCGCTCTAGTGCAGTTTAAACTCGCTAGTAAACCATCTGATCATTAATCTAGTCCCCGATGAAAATTAGAGTTTGGGGGACGCCGATATCCACTGATTTCTCCGGAGCGGCTCGGGGAAGACGGACGGAGTGGGGCTGTGGCTTCGGCGCCCGGAAGTCGGAAACAATCAGTCAATTTCTGTTTCCGTGTCGGTAACAAAACGGCACTCGCTCCTCTTTGCATTGGCCAACGCCGCCGTCACCGCCTCGTCAAGGTCGGCGTGGAAGAAGAGCCTGTCGGTCGGGAAAACTGGTTTGAGACCTTGTTTTTCTGCTGGTGTAACAGGTGATGACGATTCGATTTCTGTGCTTGTTTGTGTGCCGATTATGCCTTCGTCGTCTGTGCTGCTCTGTCGTCTTCTATGTTCGTGCTCTTCGTCAAATGATCTGGCCAATGGCAGAATTGAAGTCCAGCTTCCAATTGTATGAACATTTTCTGTCCCATTTTGGCCAAAGCCAACAGCTGTCAAAGCTCGCCTCGCCCATCGATTTCGCAGTCCACCAAAATGCCATTGGATTGAATATGGGCTCGCCCATCGATCCAGCGCATTTCTCACATCGACCAGTCCTTGGACACTGGTGATGTCAATATTATGAATTGTTGAACAGTCGATTACGATTGCTCGTAACACAGGAAGCTCTGTGTCTCCTTTGTACACGACGGGTTTGTCGCACCAAAGAGCTTCCGACTTGTCGCACTCCGGCTCCTCGGTCGCCCGTCTTGTGTGTGTATACACGTAATCCGTCAAGGTCTTGAAGTGCATTGCTTGGTTGAGATAATTGAGGCCCTCGGGGAAATGGTAGATCAAGATGCCTGGGTGAGGGCTTTCGACCGGGATGTCTTTGTTGGAAGCGTCTTTCCGAGAAAGACTCAAGTAAATATCACGCGATGTTGCCTTCTGGCGTGCATTTGCAGATAACTGTTGCTCGTCATTGCTTGGATCAATCTGCTGGACAGTGACCCTACCCAGGAACTCGCCGCTGGTGCGAGCAATGCGAACAAGTAGAAGTAGGAATGAGAGACCAGTTGTGACATAAATGCCCGTCTCAAGTCCGGTGAACAATGCAATGATAACACCAGCCACCCAGATAAAGAACTCGAAAGGTGACAGTCGCCAATACTTCATCACAGTAGACGGAGAAGCAACGAGGTTCGAAACAGCATGGATGATCAGACCAGCCAAAGCAGCTCGTGGAATGAAGTAAAACACTCCCGTAAGAGCGTAAAGAGCAAGAAGCAGCATGAAGGCGCTGAAGAGACCAGCCATGGGAGTCTTGACACCAGCCTTTGACAGAACAGCCGAGGCGCCAAACGACCCCGTGCATGAGTAACCACCCAGAAATGGCCCAATGATGTTTGCTGTACCTTGAGCCATGATCTCTTGCGAGGGGGCAACCTCATATCCGTGCTTCTTACCAAAGCTTTTGGCGATGGCAATATGCTCGACGATGAGGATGATAATGATGATGGGACTTTGAGGGAGAACAACGCCAATGAGATCGGGCTTTAAATCCGGAAGGCCAGCGTGGACGAAGCCTGTGATGGGTTAGCGTTTGATAGAGACAATGTTGAGAGATTGACCTACCTTGGTTGATGTGTCCCACAATGCGGAACTTGCTCTGATCTTCCTTCAAGTTGCGATTGACCAGGAAGCTCACCAGTGTATATAGTAGCATGGCGAAGGTGAGGCGCAGGGAAGACATGATTGACCACATCTTCTTCCGCGCAGGCTGACGAGCCTCCAATTTGGCAAAGACAAACTTAGCCAGCTCGAGCAGAACAAGACAGGTGATACCGATAGCAGCGTCCAACTTGGTGCCGCCCAAATTCTTCATGGTCGATATGAACACTTTGTAAGGCTCTTCGCGTGTATTAACACCATGAATTCCCAACAGTACAGGAAGCTGAGTGCACATGATGGAGATACTAGCGGCTGTGATAAAGGCTGATACTGGGATGTAGGGAATAACTTCGACCAGCCATCCAAGACGAAATAGACCCATGGCGAAAAGTATGATACCGGTCATAAATGATAATGTCCCGGCGATCTCGGCGCTCGTGTAGGTATCTGGCCGTGATTCGTGGACATGGGAAATGACTTCTCCGACGAGAAGGGAACCGACGGCGGTGGTCTACAACATCAATGTTAGCCAAGACGTGAAGACGCTGAGTGGTTGACGTACCCCAATGACAATGTCTTTTGATGTTCCGAATAACCAGTACGTTGCCGCACCAGCAAAAGAAGTATACAACCCAAAGTCTGGCGGTAGCGTGGCAAGAAGGGCGTACGCCATGGCTTGAGGAATAACAACCAACCCAACGGTCAAGCCAGCAATGCTGTCACCCAACAGCCACCGCCAGTTGTATCTCGGTAGCCAATTCAAGCAAGGAAATAAAGACTTGGCAAAGCGAAGTGAATCATGTCGGCTTGGAACGCACTCCCCCAGCGCTTCCTTCACTGTCGGTTCAACTTCGTAATAATCGATCGTCTTCTTCATGATGACCCAGATAAGAAGTAAGGTTATTCTTGAGGAAAATCATGTTTATTTTGTGGGCCGTTGGGAAGGATTTATAGATATCATGGGTGAGGCCGACAGCCGTAAAGGGAGACGGTAAAGTCGGTGGGGCCGCTGTGAGACGTTGGTCGCCGATCTGTTGGGGCCGGCGGTGACGGGGCCGATACCCTCGGAGGGCAAGAAAATGCAGGGAGAATCGAGATCGGGCCACGAAACCTGCTGATATGCTTTGCCTGTTTTGGGAGGTCTTATCGGCCGGTAGAGCATGTGGTGTAGCCCGTCTTTGGGGAAGTCGGTGCGGAATGGCTGTTTGTTCTAGAGCACGATAATGAATGGTGCTCCAAGATGCGAATGAAGAACAATAAACCGGTTCTCAGCGACCTCTACGATACATAGGACTAAGTATTGCAAGTTTTGTATTTCGAAGTATTTTAATTTGTTTTATTACTGCGCGACATCTATCCGTATCTGTAGTCCTCCCGTCCTGGCTGTCTGGCAGTACGCATAGTCTCGTAAAGTATCTAATGTCACAGCATGGAACAAGCACAGTCTTAGCAAAGGCTTTCAAGGTCTAAATATTTAATTAAGTTCATTACTTGCACCTATATAGACAAAAGAAGAACTTGCCTGAAAGCCAAACCTGGGACTGGCTCACGCGCAAAGAAGACTCCAAAGCCCCTGCCAACCAAATTTTAAGAATCCAAAATGGGACCATACGCCGGAATACCGCGACTCTCCAGCTGATAAACCACTTTCGCTGTCGTCGATCTGTTGGAAATGATGCACACACATTCAGCGCCGCTCTCCTTGTACGCTTGATATGCCAGCTTGACCATGTCTGGCCGACCCTTCTTGTCTGTATCCCAGATAATGGCCTCAGAGTCCATGGCCAGAATAGTGTCGAGGATGTCTTGTCCATAAGTTGAGAGAGGGTTCTTGGTAGACCAGACTACGTGACACGGAACGCGCCTCTCCATGATGACGGGCATGCAGGGTCCAATGCCTGATCCTGTTGCGACCAAAACGACCTTCTTGAACAGTGGAGCGATAGCAAGAACACCGGATGCTGGAGTACCTCGAGTCCAGATGGATATCGGAGGCTTCTCGATGATTCGCTTGGTCCAGTCACCTGCCTTAGATACAATGATTGAGAAGCCTTTACCGCTAGGCTCAGGAATGGCTGCGAAAGCATGCCACTCAATCATGGGACGATCAGTGATGCGAACGCCTCGCGAAGTGCAAGGCCCAGGTGTGCAGAAGTCGAAGTGAAGGCGCACAGCATGGTTGGAGAGGGGCTCGGGTCTGACGTTGACGCGACGGAGTCTGGCCCAAGGTAGAGCTATGCTGAGAGTGATGAGCGACAGGAGGTAGATTGTCGGGTTCTTAGCTAATGCGTCCCCCAAGGGCTCAGTTGCCGTGGCCGCTGTTGATGTAATGACATGTGCCCAAACAAGAGCGACGGAGAACCAACCGACAAAGCGATGAGCCCACTCAAACTGATCGTGCATCTTCATGCGGACACTGGGGTACGCCATGGCAAGGATGAAGCAGAGCAGAAGCAGAATGACATAGGTCAAGGCGAGAACAACACATTTGATGGGAGGCTGATATGTCTCGAGGAGGAAGTCCCGGCTGGTCGAGATGGTGTACATGAACCACCAAGCTGTAGCAGAGACAGCGCAGCCAGAGTGAACACCGCCGTTGTGATATACACGAGCAAAGTGCCTTCGTATAGACAGAGGGAATGACGTAGGGACTCGGGAGCAGACAAAGAAGATCGCATTGACAACGTAGTCTTGGCGCACAAGGACGGCGCAGAGAAGATTTGACGCAACAGCCGTGGCGACCTTGGAAGGGGATGGAAAGAAGTTATTGTTGCGGCTCTCCCAAAGAAGGAAAATGAGGACCGTGAGGTTGGACAAGAAGATGAGCCCGAAGAGCTTGCGATATGCTGAGAATGCAGTATGACGGAGCCAGCGCCACCCATGAAAGCCATTCTTGTCGGGAAGTGCATACTCTTCAGTCTCGACCTCTTCATAGTCCTCAATAACGCCCTTGGGATCCTTCTCCAGATCCCTCATGATACCATTCTTCTCGCCCTCAAAGAGCGTTCCGTCACTGGAACTGCCAATCGACAGCAAGCGCTCATGCGACGGCCATACCGTCTCCGGTCTAGGCTTCACAACCGCCTGCTGCACATCATTCCTACCCTCAGCGATCTTGTACAAGGCTCTCTTGTCAATCTTTCCGTTCGGCGTGAGTTCCAGAACGGGAAGATGTTTCCAGATTGTGGGGACAGCGTAGAAGGGCTGGGT